TGTCTGATGTCACATCTCGACCTGGGCTCCACCACATCCCCGGCTCGACTTCGCCATAGCACGATATTGTCCGTTTTGGGCCCCGGCCACGCCTTCACAGTTTTGTTTTTAGGATCTCACATGAGAACTTCCCAATGGGTCACCTATCTTAAAAATGCTCTCGCCCGAACTCGCTTAACTTCGGTTCCGATGGAACTCGAAGCCAGTAAGTTCTCAAAAGGCCTTGTGCTAAAGGAGGTAGGCATGTACATATAAGGCATATCACCCTCTTCTGTTGGTCAATGTGAGATGTTACAATCCACCCCCCTTAGGGGCCCGACGTTCTCGTTGGCACACTCGCACCACACGACAAAGTGGCTCTGATACCAAATTATCACACCCCGACCCAGGCTCCACCACATCTCGGGCTCGACTCCGCCGTAGCACGATATTGTCTGCTTTGAGCCCCAGCCACGCCCTCACGGTTTTGTTTCTGGGAACTCACACGAGAATTTCCTAATGGATCACCCATCCTAGGAATGCTCTCGTCCAAACTTGCTAAACTTCGGAATTCCGATGGAACCCGAAGCTAGTGAGTTCTCAAAAAGCCTCGTGCAAAAGGAGGTGGGCATGTACATATAAGGCACATCACCCCTTCCATTGGTCGATGTGGGATGTTACATCTGACCCTAAGTGGGTTAATGCCATGAATGTTAAGATGGAAGCTTTGGAAAAGAATTCCACTTGGAATTTGGTTCCATTGACAAACGGAAAGAAAGCTGTTGGATGTAGATAGATGTTCACTATTAAGCATAATGCATATAGTTCTATTGACAGGTATAAAGTCAGATTAGTTGCTAAAGGTTATACTTAAACCTATGGTGTGGACTATCAGGAGACTTTTGCTCATGTTGCCAAACTTAATATTGTTCGTGTTCTTCTGTCCTTAGCAGCAAACCAGGATTGGCCCTTATTGCAGTTTGATGTTAAAAATGATTTCCTTCATGGTGATCTTAATGAGGAAGTTTATATAGATCTCACATCTAGAATAAGTATATCTCCTAAAAAATGTGTTGTGTGTAGATTGTGAAAGGCTTTATATGGTTTGAAACAATCTCCTATAGTGTGGTTTGGGAGGTTTATAAGTTCAATGAAGAAGTTTGTGTATTTTTAGAGTCATTTAGATCATACTTTGTTTCTAAAGCTACAAAATGATAAGATAACTATATTGATTATTTATGTTGATGACATGATAGTGACTGGTGATGATCAGGAGGAGGTACAACGCCTTCAAAAGTACCTAGTTACTGAATTTGAGATGAAATAATTGGGTGAATTAAACTATTTTCTTGGAATCGAGGTTGCACTATCCAAGCATGGTATTTTTATATCTCAACATAAGTATGTTCTTGATTTATTAACTCAAACATGTATGTTAGATTGAAAACATGTTGATACTGCGATTGAGCAGAATTATCATTTAGGCTTATTTCCAAATCAAGTTCCTACTCATAAAGAACGATATCAGAGGCTTGTAGGGATATAATTTATTTGTCTCACACCTGCCTTGACATTGCTTATGCAGTTAGTGTGGTAAGTTAGTTTATGCACTCACCTAGTGAAGCTCATATGGATGCAGTAATCCGTATTTTGAGGTACTTGAAGATGGCTCCTGGCAGAGGCTTGGTTTTCTCCAAGAATGGTCATTTGAATGTAGAAGGGTATACAAATGCAGATTTGGTTGGTTCTATCACGGACCGGTGATCTACATCTAGATATGTTACTTTTGTGGATGGTCATCTAATTACTTGAAGAAGCAAGAAACAAAAAGTGGTGGCTAGGTCAAGTGCTGAAGCTGAGTTTTGTGGTATGTCTTATGGTGTATGTAAGTTGTTGTGGTTGAAAAAATTGTTGAGAGATCTTGGATTTAAACCCAAGGATGCTATTAAACTTCATTGTGATAACAAGGCTGTTATTGAGATTGCTCATAATCTAGTGCAACATGATCGAACAAAATATGTGGAGATTGATCGACATTTCATCAGGTAAAAATTGGATGCTAGAATTATTAATTTTTTGTTTGTGGGATCTCAAGATCAAGTTGCTGATGTGCTTACTAAAGCTATGTCTAATAATGTGTTTTCCAACTCGCTTGACAAGTTGGGAATGCATGACATCTTTGCTCCAACTTGAGGGGGAGTGTTGCGAGTTATATATTTATATATTAATTAGTTTAAGTGTAAATAGTAGTCTATTGTCCCACATTAACGAAGTGCATATGTAATACCAATTGTAACTCTTATATATACTCAACTTTGGAGATTAATGAATATACAAGAAATTCCCAAATATTGTCATATATATATATTTTTGTATTTTACCGTGTTTAATTCAACTTTACTGATGTCCAGCTTCAACGCCATCACTCCATTCCTACCCGACGCTTTCTTATGCATATAGTGGGCAATTTCCGAAGCTACCAAACTATTATCCGAAATCAATCTTCCCAGTACAAAAGCACTCTGATTTGACGAAATGGTCTTCAGAAGCACCCATTTGAGTCTAGTGGTTAGAACTTTTGAGCAAATTTTGTACATTACATTGCACAAATTGATCGGACGCAACTGTGCCATATGGATATTTGTTCTTCGGGACAAGGGTAACGTGGGTGTAATTGATCTTATTCAACATTCTTCCCGTCGAGAGAAGTGTTGGGACTCCCGTTACAAACATCCTGACCAATAATATCCCAATGTTTTTGGGTAGAGACATTCCATCCGAACCGGGAGCCTTTGTCGGATACATCTGAAAGAGCGCACATTTAATCTCCTCATCCTCAAACGGCTTCATAAGATCCGCATTCATACTTTCGGTCACCTTCGGTTGGATGTACTGTAAATTTTCATCAGCATTTGTTGAACCCTCCGAGTCAAACAATTTCATAAAGTAGCTCACCATTATCTACTCCATTCCTGCTTTATCCTCCCGATAAACCCCTTGATTATCAAATAATCCCATTAAGGAATTAGCACACCTTTTTCGGTTTGCTTTTTGGTGGAAACATTTTGTATTCTGATCACCGAGACGTAACCAGTTTTCCCCAAGGCGTTGCCTCCAGAATGCCTCTTTCTGTGCAAGCAAAGAGTGTAATTTATTATAAAGTTCGCACCTTTGTGCCAACGAAGTCATTTAGCACTATTATTTAGTAATATTTTTCTTCATTTGTAATTAAGTTTTGAATTTGAAAATTCCCATGTCTATGGTAACCCCTGGGTGGAACTAACTCACAAGTCTATGGTAACTTCACAAGTTTTTGTAGATTGGAACCTGTGGGTTGAGCTCTTGGGCTAAACCTAAACTCAAGCTAACACGAACTTGATTAAACTCGAACCTAACCCAAGGCCGAAGTGTGTTGACCTTCTAATCTGTCCGAATTGCACCTCTAGTTGTTGTTATAAGGTGACCATCTTGTTGCAATTACCTAATCATTGCTAATTACTTTTTGGCTCACAATTTTCATGTTAAAGATGTTACAACATGACGTTAAATTTCAACTACTTCAACGTCTAAGTTATAATTTGACAAAAAAAAAAAATCTAAATTATAAGAAAAGTAAATTACAACGAAACATTAAGCATTTTTTTATAACAAAATTAACTGCTATTTTTCCCCACGACAAAACGAATTTTAAGCAACATGACGTTAAGTATGAACCTGAGTGGTAATTTTGGGTCAAATTGAGTAGTTTTACCGTCTCTTGGTTGACCCCCATCTTAACATTCCAACCACAAGGAAGGATTCAGACAACTCGAAAGATGCAGAGATCCACAAGTGCTTCCAGAGTCTCCTCCTCGGAGGACTTGCTTCTGACCTACTCCTCCTCACCCCAATCTTCAACCTTCAAACCAACCACAGACGACGGCTCAGATGGCGACCAGCACGAGCATCTGCATCTCCCCACATACGATCCCCTCTCTCATGTGGCAAAGAGAGAGCGACGCCGCATCAGGTCCGCAGAGAACGCCATCCACTTGATACCTGTCCTGCTCGTCCTCTGCGCCTTCATCCTCTGGTTCTTTTCCAATCCAGGTACAATATACACAACCTTCCCGTTTTGCCCATTTGTCCCCATATATTGTTTTCCCTTCCGGGTTATATTTGGAATTATGTTTTGTTTCCTGTATGATCGTTCCGTTTAATTTCATCTTCTCGGCAATATGTTCTGCTTTTGTTTACTCTAAATTAATCTAAATTGTGGAAAGAGGATTCGAACTTGGGTGCAGAAAGACTCGACTCACACTGCGCTAGCCAACTTAGCTACGCCTGGTCCGCAGTTCTGCTTTTAAATACTGTGGCAGTATCTGTTTTATGAAATATAAAAGAAAAATTAGCTGGTTGAGGCGACATGGATTAATATTTGATTCTTTCTTACTTCAAGTTCGAAGATTATAAAACTTTGGAGTGATGGCATGTTTTGGTATTTATTATCTACTGTGGTGCCTTAGCTTGAACTGGTACTGTTAGGATTCAAAAGTTAATCTCTTCTTGTGCAGTTTGAGGAAGTTAGAAACTACAGTTTTCGATTCATCAGTCAGTTTCGCGATTGAAACTAATTTGTTTCCTTGTACCAAACTTGTGTTTCTTGATGCGTGTTTTGCTATCGCGAAAAGCCGAAGAAAATGTTTTCTTGTGAAGGCTTCTTGTGTTGGTCATATCTTTGGAATGTTAGTCCCTTTGTGTTTGGCAACTTTTTGTTGTCCTTTCGCTTTGTTTCGTGGTTGTTTGTATTGCTGAGTGAGCTTTGTAGCTGAACAGATGTGTCGATATTTAAGTGACTCGCTTTCTATTTTTCTTGTCCAGAATGAAAGTTATCATGATTGATGGGAGATACTGATCTTGGGGAGGAGCAGCTTTCCATCAAACATAGAGTTGGAGTTCAATCTGAAGAAACGATTTATGGATCGTGATTGGGGTCCGCCCTTTTACTCGAGGAGCTCTTAGAAATTTATATGAATGTAAGATAACATAGACCTCGTTCATAAACAGTATAGTGTCATGTACAATTAGTACTTTAAGATCATTTCAAAGCATATTTCCCATCCCTTGTCTTTAATAGACTTTGAACTTCCAACAATGTTTTTAACCTAATTAGTTCTGGGGATGATGACACTGCCGCCAATGTTACACAACTGAAGTTTGTAGAGGCTCACAGTCGAAATTTGTGTGCTCCAACAATGGTCCTAACCTAACAAGCTTGGGAAAGATGACATTGTTCCGAAAAAAACACACAACAGGGTCCTCCCACTGTAGGAGTGACCCTACAAGATTTGCACGTACAGTCAGCGGAAAGATGCGTGGCCATCTCTCGCTTCCATACGAGCTGAGAGCATCTTCTACGGATGCTGGTCCTGACTCGATGGCACCCGCAAGCTTTCTTGCCAGAATTACTGCATCTTCCAAAGCACAACAAGCACCTTGCCCAAGATTCGGAGTCATTGGATGCCATGCATCTCCTACCAGCACAACTCTTCCTGCTGAAGCCGAAGGGCTGATGCCGGGCCATAGCCACCGGTCTACGAGTGGTGTTCCAATGATTGTGTCATCCGGGGTATTATCTATGATGTTCAATAGGTCCGAAGGCCAGTCTTCGACTAGTTCGGTAACTTGCTTCTTTAAAAATGGCCCGTCAGTAATCTTCGGACCTGCAATAAAATGTACCACATTGAAAAATCAACCATGGGAATGTTTGTAGATTCCAATCATCGATCTGCATTGTTGGCCAGATTAGAAATTACCTAGAGATGCTCTGTTGTAGCAGACGAACCAGTAGACTTTCGTAGGAGAAATAGGAAGAAAACCGGCACGCTGTCCCTTTCCATAGATTTGATTCAACCTTGGTTCAAATGGCTGCCCGTCGGGGTAACTTGCAAGACCACGAAAAGCACAATGCCCTACATATTTAGGCTCGGGGAACCCCATCCACGTAGCTATAGGAGATCGAATTCCATCACATCCAATTACTATCTGTTGGGGTTCATCAGAACATATTGAAAAATTAGAAACATTTGGTGATCTCAGTTTCACCCTTCATCAATCTGCTAAACGAAAAGCGATTTATATCCCGGAAAACACGTATGAAACATTGTCAAAAGTGGTTATCGTATCTGGAAGAACTTTTAGTCGTTCTAAAAGCATTGTCAAACTGACAGTGTTAAAGGAAATTCAGAGTGGGCTGAGGGTAACCTTTGCATATAGCTGGGTACCATCCACCAATTGCAACAACGTTTCTCCATTTTCAGTTTTTTCAATCTTTGCCAGCTTTGAAGAGAAACGAACCGCACCCGGAGGTAGTTCATTGGCAAGAGTCTCCAGCAGTATTCTCCTCTCTACAGCACGCACCTCTTGGCTGTTTCGTCCATTTCAAGTGAGAAAGAATGAAAGATTTGATTTGCCATGTTCTCTAAGAAAAGAGAGAATGTGGAAGAATAACATGAGTTAACTTCATTACCTTTCATCTTCCTCTTTGAACTTGAAAGACCGTAGCTCTCTTCCATTGTCGGTCTTTACCACCATCCTGCACAGCTGATTCCATGAACCAGATCAGAGGAAATTGGGTAGGGTTTTTTTATTTTTATTTTTTTGTAACAAAAAGTTTAGGGTGAGGGGAGGCTACCCCGTTCCAAGGTCAGGATGTACAACAAGCCTCTTTGAGGACTTACAGATTGTTTAACATAAAACGGGTGGGGCAATTGTTTCACCTTTAACAAGCAAGTAGCTAGCTTCCACCTTACTTAACAGCAAGGCGCGAAAGCCTTCGTTAGGGTTAGGATAGGTTCATAGTTCGGTTCCCTCTGGTGTAACCGGAAACAGAGCTGGGAGTGGTTGTGTGAAGAATGAGGAAACGCAGATGATGAATTAAATGTGGAGATATATACTAGTAATTTGTAGAATTAGCATGAAGAAACATAAGACTGATTAACATACCCTTGAATTTCAAGAAACTGAGTCCTGAGATGGTTTCCAACTCCAATTGCATCCAAAACTCGCCACCCATTTTTGAAAAGGGTGAGTGATGTTCCTCCAGTTCGAAGTGACTCTGCTTGTTCAAGCACCAGCGACCCAACTCCAAGCCTATTCATCCAAAAGGAGAATATTAATACAAAGTGATCGTATGTACACGTATATGTGTGTGTGTGTGTATCTTGTATTGTATGACACACTTTTAAAACTGCATGGTCAAAGATTTAATGTTGCTGAGATTTGGAAGTAACCTGTGAAGAGAGAGTGCAGTGGCAAGACCAGCAATTCCGGCGCCGACGATGACAATGTTTTCACTGCGAGCACCGGATTGAGCTTTGATGATTGAGCGAGAATTGGGTTTCGTTCTGGTTCTGGTTCTGATTGGAGATTGAAACCAATTGGATTGGGTGCCAGAAAGTGATCCAATTTTCGAATGGTATGGTGAAACAAGTGGGTTGTGAAACACTAGGGACAAAGAAAACGTAGCCATGGTTGTTTTCACTTGTGTTTTATTATTCAATTAACATTGCAGAGTTTTGGAGAGGGGGGGAGAGAGAGAGAGAGAGAGAGAGAGAGAGAGAGAGAGAGGAGGTGTTGGTCTGCCAATTAGCCATGGAAAAAGCAGTGGTTACCATGAAATTGGATTTCTAACATTTGGATCAGATAAACCCGGGAAAGAAAGATATTTCAGAGGCCCTTTTGGTTGTGGAGCTCGTCTGGGCCGGGCTTGTCAACATTAGCAACGTATATTGACATAGTGTTCCATCCAGCCCACGCGTCCTCCATCCTTTCTTTCTCTCCTTCGATTCATCTGTTTGACTTACCTTTTGGCTTTCCATTTTCTGGTTTCCTCTTCTGGGTTTTCCTCCGCCTTCATCGTTGTGCCCCCCTGTTTTCTATCAATTTCTTCCTCTTGGTTTCACAAAATTATCTCCGGGTAGACACGATCTTTGATTTTTGGAATACTTGTTGGCTGTTCTTCTCTGTTTTTGGGTGCGAACCGTATCGATTTCGTCTTGAGTTTGAGTAGCTGTGGAGTGTTGTTTGTTGTTTTTTTTTCTTCTTTTTTGTTTTTTTTTTTTTTTTATACAATTATCATCATTTGGTCATAGCTGCTCGAGTTTGAGTAGTTTGTGTCCAAACTCGTATTATGCTTTCTGTTGACAATGATCTCATTGTTTCTGATGTGGGACAAGGTTTGAAGTTGGAGAGACCAAGAACTGGGCACCCTCTACAGACTGCAGTACTACTGTTGCTTAGGTCTATTTCAGTTCCTCTTTACTCTCTCAATCTTCATAACTTGCTTTTTTCATGTCTATCAATCTATCCATTTTCACATTTATATATTAGAATAGACTTAAACCACTTACTACTTGATTATAAGGCTCTTTCCTTTAGCACTTACTTGCAGGACTGCCCGCGCTTTGCTGCGGGTTTTCAAATCATGAATAATATTCATAGAAAATTTAACTGAAAATGCTACAGCGATATAATCGCATTCTTAAATGTAACAATTTAGAGAACGCATGTTTTATATGAGTAACGCTCACAAAACCACAGATTTACACAATTATCTCCAAATGAAAGAAAAAGCAAGAGATATGTGAATTGATCCATAAAATACGTAGTTTAATTTACATCGCTACTCATTAAGTCGACATCAAATAGAAGCTTCACATCACAATAATTAACCACAATCCTCTATTTTTGTAAGTGCAAAATGAAAAACGGAATCAAATATTAAACCCAATATCTTCACAGCACAATGTTCAACCCAAAATCTTCACATTAGCTCAAGAACTATATTGTTTCCAGAGCTTTCCAATTTCCCAGCACGGAACGACAAACATAAAAGCATTAAAATAGCTCTAAATTAAAACAATAGGATGAACTACAAAACGATAGAGGAAAGATTAAGAGCTTACCCTCAGAAAATCAAAGCTCACCAAAATGCTTACCCTAACCAGAGAATCGTAGAGAATAAATCTGCATCAACATGTAAATTATAGAAAAAAAAATTAAAATTTATAAATACCATCATTTCACTACTAATTTGAATAAATCCAGAAACAATATATTGGAATAATCTTTTAGGTCTTCCAATATTAATAGGTTAGAAATTCAGAGATAAAACACCACAATTCATTAAATTCAAAGTTGAACAATTCATTAAATTCAGAGCTTACCCACTGCAACATCAAATGATAGAAGCAAGAATTGTGTTAAAAGTCATGTGATGTGTGCATTTACAGACACCAAGATTTTACATGCCCAAGAAAGGGAATCACTCCATTAAAAAGAGAGGAACTACTGATACTGTAGGTACATTAACCAGACCACTAATTTTAAATGACAGCATATGCTCGAGTAAGCGAAAGACTAAAAGACGAAAAGAAGAGGGTTATATACCCGTTTCAATGTCATTGTCAGGGGCCTCTTAAACCTGGTTCCAGAATGAGGATAGTCCAACACTCTCGTAGTGACTAATACTTATTGTGACCTTCACTCAGTTTGTGAATTAGAAGCTTGAAATACACCAAAAATTATATTAATAGCCATTCCCCTAATTTTAACTACTAACAGCGTAAAGAATTGGAAATTACAATTAAGACCAATGTTTTCCCCCTTTTTTTCATTGCCATAAAAGGCAGAAAAACAAAGGCTTCTAAAACTCAAACCAACCGTCTCATTTCTTCCCAAAAATAAACACATTTTAATCCAACATTCATAAATGCGTGGTCAAACAGGGGAGAAAATTATGTTAATTTGGGCTTCAAATTTACAAACATAACTGTTTACAATAAGCATATATAACATGATTTGGTCTGCAGTGCTTTCACCAATAGTTATAAAAAACAAAGATTCTAAAGATATGCATGCAATAGAATGACTATTACCTCCAAGTAAGCAATTGCATGGTTGCAATCTAAGTTGCACACATCATGTTCAATCTGATAGCTTCAGTATAGCACTTGACAACATTATTTCAGGCTTACATTGAGCACCATCGCATAATCTTAGGCTTACATTGTGGAAAACAGAAGCACCACCAGCGTTTTTAACAATCAACGTTACTTGCCAACATCATTAGAGAGTGAACAATTAGGACCATTTTTTCTGTCCAGCCATTTTAGTTGGCCTAACTCAATGTAATTGCTTCTAATAACAGAATATTCTGATTGATATGGAAAGCGTAGTTCCTCTAAAAAAAGGCTAGAATTATTTATACCTGCCAAACCCAGAGTAATCTGGTTCAAGATGCGAGAGACCATTTATTTCTGTGTAACCATCAGAAGTCTCACTCATCTGCCTCTCAATCCTCTCCAATCCTCCAATAGATGTATAAATGAAACAATGAAAATATGTGGGAACTCAGAAGGGTAAGGTTTGTATAAAGTATAAAGTAGTAGTTTATAGCTTGACTATGTACACTGATATTATATACATATTAAGAGATGCCCAAAATATAGTTGCTCCTATTTTACCGATGACTCCAAACATTGGAGTACTTTGACTACTAAGTATTAGTTGGTAGCTTAGTTATATTTGCAGAACCTTCTATATGTAAAGAGTTGATTGGATTTACATAACTTGTTTAGTGCTAATCTTCAACACAAATGGTTATACAACAATGTGTAACAAACAATATGATTATTCACACTTAAAAAGCTATCCTGTTATAAATGGCTGGGAATTAACGTTTTCAATTAAGACTTTAAACTTTTTTTCTATTGTGGGATTGCAAAATGAGCATCCCAAATTGCATGAGCAAATGGTCTTACATGTAAACGATCTTGCACCCATGCTCAAAATTTTCTTCCCAAGCTACATGAAACAAATTTTGGGAATGCAAAAGAGAAGAGCAAAGATTCCAGACTCAGAGCATGTTATTGACTCAGCCACAAATCTGTTGACAACTATCAAAGACAAAATAGTACTTCTCTCTTAAAGATGTGGTTATCAACCCTTTTTACACATTTTTGTTAAAGTGTAACCTAATTGTTCATTCAATTACAATATCTGAAAACACCTCAAATCAAGCCACCTGATTTTGGCATTTGGGTGAGAAGGGGATACTAATATATATTTCGAAAACAACATCATGCTTTTCAGTCATTTTCATGGTTCTTACCAAAATTTAAAATCTAGAGAGAGTGAGGGATTAAGACAGTCAGGAAATAAACAAATATTAGATATAATTCCACATTCTAAAATAAATATCAGTAAGTTAAAAGTAAAAACATGAAAAAAGGTAAGAAATTTGATATTGTAGTTAAAGACCCATATAAGTAATATACAACTAAAAAGCTAGATATTAAACCTAGAATAATGCAGAAAGATTGTTTTTTATAGTACTGCCAATGACAATTAATACATCCAAATAAAACCTAACATTCATATGTGAATAACAATGAAGGTAGAGATTACTTGCAGAAGAGATGATTGCAGTTGAGTGAATCCACAGAACTCAGCAGACTCAAACTGCAAAACAGATGGGGAAAAATCAAACCCATTAACAGAGTGGAGAAATTTTAAATCTTTAAACAAATTCTACACAAAATCATGTAAAGGGTCTGTTTTGGCTACCGAGAAACTTAGTATACATTTGAATATTATTACATTTTAATATAAAAATTAAGCTTTATTCAGATGGGAGAGATCAAAGGTTGCATCATTCAGCTTCACACATGCCCACAACACAATTTCAAAAACTGTCATCTTAAAGTCACATTCTTTATCAAACTCCCACTCCGGAATCAAAGATCCGCCAAATCTCTCTCTCTCACTCTCTCTCTGTCTTTGTCATCCAGTACGCATCCGCCATGTTTGAGGCTCAACCCTAAACCCTAAATATCGAAAAGTAACCTATATCAAGCCCCAATTGCTATCAATGAGAGCAGCCTTAACGTCTTTGGTCGGCGCACTGGTTCTCTACATTAATATGATTCATCACATTCTCTCTCGAATTTCACTCTCGCATTCCTTGAAACAAATTCTGATCATAATTCATTCCTTAAGTAGAACTAATAGATTTAAACAAAGAAGAAAAATAAAATAAAAAATAAAAAAGGAAGCTGGGTTTTTACCTCTAAACGATCTCCCAGCAACAAAAGGCTTCAATCGCTATCTTTGCACATTCGATTGGTCAGTAAAATATACAGAATAAGAGTTACATCACATAACAATAAAGTAGAGAGAATTGGAAGACAAAAGGAGATTTAAAATGTGTAAACCTCACAAACGTCACAAACCCTAGAATTCTTGCTGACCAAAATCACAATTTCAAATTTGAAGCTGCATGATATGAATAGAGTTTGTAAACTTAATCCTAAAGCACAAAAGATTTGAAAACGACTCCTCACCTCAATCAGCTGAGGCTGTCATGGGCTTCAAATCTCAGTCATTCTGTGCAACCATGGCCTTTGTCCTCAATCTCAGGCCTTCATGGCTCAAGAGTGCAGGTAGTGAGAGTGATGCAACGACTCAATCTCCTCTCTCTCTCTCTTGAATCGTACACCCCTATGACTCTGTCTACCTGCAAGTCGTATTTCTTCCCCTTACCAAATCCCTATCGCTCTCACTCTTCCTTCCTCCCCCTCTCTCTCCCCTCCTCCTCTCTGCAAGCCGCATGCCTTCCTCTCACCAAATCCCTATCTCTATCCCTCCTGCTCTCTCTCCTGACGGCATGCTTTCACCGAGTCCCTCTGCAGCTCATAGAAAGAAAGGAAATGAAAGTCTCCCTAACCCACCCAATCCGTTCGAAACCCTACAGACTAAAACGACCATCGCACCCCTACCTTTCCAGGATTATCAACACACGGCATCAAGAATTAATGAAATAAGTTTAACCATATATTCAAACAACAATGATATAAACAACATAGAAATAAAATTGCAGAAAAATCTAAGGTTTAGATGAGAGAAGAATTAAAAGCATCTATTCAATTCAGGTGCTTGAAATTCATATGTTTACAATTCATCTACTGAATGGAGCATGTAGAAATTGACTAAATTCATACATATGTTTGGGACTCATCCTTCTTCCTCATAAAAATTGCTCCGAACTGCAATTTTCAATACAATTTGAGCCAAAATTTAATTCAGTATCTGTCATCATCAAAATCTTCTTCCGAGTCAAAACTCATGATTGGGGGAGTTCAATAAGCAACAGATAATTACCTAAAGGTTTCATCCACCAACAACAATCCCTTCCTCAACAGCCGAATGAAAAAAAAAAAAGTTTAAATTTTGATGGTGCTTTCTGTGCCAAAGATAAGATGAAAGAAAACTTAACATGTGTACCTATTCAGGTAGAGTGAACAAAGATTTTATACAAAACAGAAAAATTAGCAATTTGTAAATTTATTTTGTCATGCCATAAAGTTTTTAAGAATCGAGTAACATATATTTTTGGACATACTGGTTCTTTGCACGAATAAACTGAAGGTGTAACCCCGCCTTCTTCTGTGGAATGCTTCTCTAACTGCAATAGCAGACAAACTGATGATGATGGGGACTACTAAATTCCTAAAAAAAACATAAAATTTTGAAGCTTTACAAAGTGTAACAATAAAACTGCACCCCGTGGAGAAACAACATAATTCACTAACCTCAATAAAGTCAGAAGTATCCGCATCCTGCCTGTCTGAATTCCTGAAAAAAGCATGAAATTTTGAAGCATTACAAAGTGTGCCTTTTAAAACTTGGACACAGGGCCTTCTTCTTCTTTCTGAAATTATCAAAACTAATCAAATTGTGGAATTCCAACCGTTAAAATGACATACCAGACTGAAGAAACTTCAGCAGTTAGAAGATCATAGCAGCAAATGCATCAAAAGAACAAAAAACTATATGAAAATTACAGAACCTAGATGAAAGGAAAACCAAAAAGCATCAATAAAATGAGAAACAGAAGAACTCACCTAAGAATTAGAGTCCCAAGAAAGCAGCAGGTTGATTTGATATGCCAAACTGCACTGCTTTTATATATCAATGTTTGAAACAATCTTTCAAATTTCTGAAAAAAATAATAATACTTTGAAATAATGAACAAAATCTACAGAACCCAGAACCCTTTAAAGCCAATTATATGTGGGGGTGGGGTTGTGGGATCACAAAAAGTCCAAATTTTTTTTGCACCTCCCATGAAAATTAAACATTGGCATTGATTCACAGAGAAGAATATGGACAACGACAAAGATGGGATGCGCGCCTCTGGGGGGGAAGGGGGGGGGAGGAGGTGTGGTGGAGGAGAGGGATGAGAGTAGAGGGAATAGACGCAGACCAAAAATATAAACTTAAAAAAAAAAATCATACGAAGATATTGTTTTAACAATTAATGGCATATATATATATCAAGGAGACAAATAGTTGCAGAGGCTTGGATTATACCTTTTCATCTTGGATTTGAGAACTTTGTGGCCTCCGCCTTATTTTTGAACACCAGATTAGAGCTCTGTGTGCTCAAATTAAATCAGTTCATCCAGGCATGGGCTTCAGATCTCACTAACTCTCTGAAAGCTTGGGCTTCCTCCTCAATTTCCGTCATATTCTCTCTGCGCTGTATCCCTCCTCCCTCACTCAATCAGGTCAGAGAGCAGACAAATTTGATGTGGACTTCAATGTATATGAATCCATGGTTGAACTCATTTCCTGACACACTGAGTGAAAGAAATGAATCATCAAATTAAGATCCACATAATTAGTTGCATTTGTCACCAAAATACCAATCATTCCAAAACACCATTGAAGCACTGAAAAATCACAAATTTCACCAAATTCAAAAGCACCCAACACCCACCAATAAAATTTGGAATAAGTCTAATTAAAAGGATGAGATTGCTTGAAACAAAACCCCCAAAATCACAAAAATGAAATTTTAACAGAAAACCCATTTCTAAGCCCAAACTTACACACTTCTAACACATAATTTTCAAACCACAAAATTACCCACCCTAAAAAGTGAACCTGTTTATAATGGTCAAACCCATATGATCAAACTCACCGAATACTGAAAAAAAAAATTACAATTAATAATTACCTCAACAGCTAACAGAGCCAAAGCCAAACCCCAGAGCTTCGAATGGCAAAAATGATAACAGAAACATGAATAGTCCTTCTTCCTTCCCCACTACTGCTGCCACTTTCTCTCTCTAAATGAGTTACCATTACACCAAACCATTAGCATGCAAGTATTTAACTACAATGTTTAGTGCTTTGCAACTGAGCCATGATACTGAATCAAAAGAAGAAAAAAAATCATATATTCTTGGACATTTTATCATGAGATCATACCACCACAATGCTCAAGATCCTAAATTAGTATACATTTGCATACGCAAAATCTATGATCGTCAATTCAGACCAACCCTCGTACATTTGCAGCTCAAATCAGCACAGGAAAAAAATGCTAGGCATGTATGTTCCCCCAAAAGTGAGTTTATCAGTCTTTGAGATGGGCAATAAAAACCTATCAACATTGTGCATTCATGAATCATTTTTCTTTAAAAAAAAATAATAATAAATAAATATTTAAAAAAATCAGCTTTTTTGATAATGAATCCAATTAAACAGTTTAGAATCAGAAGTCAACAGAGCAAAAAACAAAATCAAGTCACTTTTTATATACATTTTAAATCAATTAGATCAATCAGATAACAGAAAGAAGATGGAATTCCACAAAAACTGTAACAATAGTCAGCTCATTTAGGTACAATTACTACGAAGATTGAAGTCGAAAACATAAAAGGAAGTAAATTTAAATCATTTTTCCTACACTTTCCCAGCAACCAAGCAGAGAACTAAGAAATTGAAAGCAAATGAACTGATTGGCGCAATCAATTTAACCAAAGAAATCCGATTTTACTACGACGGGGGTAAATATGATGAAAATGGTGAGAAATTACTTACAGAGAGAGCTTCGATGACTTGGCCCAGAAAGCCAAAGAGGAGATCCTTTCTTATGAGAGAATCAAAAAAGTTCTAAGCTTTTAATTTTGCAATCACTTTCAGTTCTTCATCTCTTACTCTAAATCCCAATTACAGAAATATCTAAACTTTACTTCAATTTAATATTGTTTCCCCAGAACAGCACAATCCCACAAAAATAAAGTTAAAAAAAAAAAAACAACAACAACAATAAATCATGAATTAAATTAAACTTCTCACCTCCACCTCCAGCAAAGCTTTCACATTCTCAACCTGTCACAAAAAACAAAAATAAATAAATAAATAAATAAATAAATAAATAAAGAACTTGAATATAGCAAATCAGCAACCCTACTCCCCCTCTTTCTCCTTCTCCCTCTCCCTCTGCAATTCACGTGTGCACCCCCTCCCTCTGGAACTCTCCCCCCGTGAAACCCCTAAACCCCGCGCGTAGGCCCTATATCTTATGGCTGCAACCTCACGAATCGTCCCCATCACCTCAATCCTACCGAACCACAAATCAGGTACAATTTATGAGAGTAATTGTAAAAACTGGATAAAACACTTTAAATAACTATTAAGTTTTGAATTAAACTGAAGAAAATAGTTCAAACTAAGAAAATCCCAGTAAGTGGAAAAGGATATGGTGAGTGATTAGTGCCTAGGAATTGCTCAGAAGCACATATCCTTCGAATTCCTCACCGCAAAAGCAGCAGGCCTATAAGTAAAAAATAGAAAATGGTAAAATTAGAACGAAAACAACTTTTATAGAGAGCAAAAAAATGGGTTATGTTGCAGAACATCCAACTACCATCAAATTATGGATAATCAAATAATGAATTGCCATCAAAATTCCAAAATATAATCTGACAATTGGATACAAACCGAAGAACCAGAAGGTGAGGAGGACGATGATGCAGGACCACGCCACGTGTCATCTGTAATCATGTTGACACCTCATCGGCATATTACCACCGTACGAAGTGCCGATTTCGTGGTTTTGCTCCAGCTCCGGATGCCAGAAATGGGTGTGTTGGTAGCACTGATTGTCATCGTCCTCCTCCCGAACCTGCGAAGCTCTCAAACGTCATAGCGGCAGTGGCAGCAACAGCAGCACCGCCTGAAGTATTCCTACTGGTCGAAGCAGCAGCAGAAGAAGAAGATGAGGAAGACGATGGATGTTCTTCCATTGCAAAGAGAGAGGGAAAATTGGGGGGAAATTAATTTCAGAACCCTGATCCTAATTTAGATGAAAAGGTAACGTACACATGAAGGTCTGAGGAAGAAGGTCCCATGACGATGGATTTAACTGAGATTATGAAGAGGAATGGGGTGAGCAGCGCTGGGGCTAGGTTGAGAGAATGGAGAGAGAAGTCTCGAATTTGAGAGAAATGAGAGAGAAACGGTGCTAGGGTTACAGAGTGAGAAAAGGGAAGAACGGGGGATTTGATGGATGGTTATCGAGAGAGCAGGGAGAGAGAAAGAGGGAAAGAAAAGGCGGTGGCAATTTTGTAAATAAAGTGAAATTCGGCTCAATCCTACGGACAAAATTACCCCCTAACTTTTGGGAATTACCTTTCCAACCCAGCTCAGATCTGATGATTTTTGTTGTAAATAGCGTGAAATCGAGGGGCAAACAATTGACTGTAGCCCAATGAACAGTCAATTGCTCCCTAGTTTTAGAATAGATAATTTGTGGTAATGATCCATGTGGTTTCACCAATGAACTCACATCCTTGGATGGCAAGAGGACTCAATAGAGCTCAGTATATAACTCAAAATCCATTCTACAAACACGTATTTTTTACCTTATTGAACATAAGGATGTAAATAGATTTGGATATAAATGTAAATAGATTTTAATATATTCCGCATGTTAAACACGGTTTCAAAACTCACAGCATCGCGCGGGCTGAATTGCTAATATAGACTATATCAAGAAAATCTACCAAATATCGATGACATATAGCAACATTCACTGAATAGGGACACTTCAGTTGACGTCATCGATGGCGAACAGTTTATGAAAGTTCAAATATTTTTTTTTGCATTTGCTTCTTTTTCTCAGCAGAAAAGCCTCGATTTCTGGTAAAGTTTGAATTAAAAGTTCTTGATCATTGAACTTTGGTGGTAAGGGGCATATTTTTTATTTTTTATTTTTATTTTTTATATAAATGATAGGGTTAGTAAGTTAAACAGTTAGTAGTTAGGGAAAGAAGAATCAGTGATGATTGAACACACACCAGAGTTCAAAGCATGAATACTTACCTCAACTGCGTAAAACGCTATCTATTGTAATGAGTTTGTCGGATGTGCTTGTCGGATGTGCGTGTATCTCACACAAAATCAAAGAGATTAATACTTGAAATTTGAGGAAGAGATTAATACATATAATGTCTACTTGCAACGAATCTCAAAATTTAGATTACTGATAAGGACAACGAATCACGTTCCTTTCAGAATTGGAAAAATCTCGATTAGTGGAGAGGAATCCACCACTAAAAAGAACGTACGAATTAGGGTGAAAGGTGAAATGCCACCACTAAGGTGAACGTCTGAACCCACCACAGAAAAAAACAAAAACAAAAAAATAAAAAATAAAATAAAATAAAATTATGGATAAAAGATTTTCAAGTACCAAGAGATTGAGATCAAGTTATCAAGTACCAAAGGTTCTTCATTAACATTGGAAAACATGTATGAGAGATTTGTAAACGACTTCTTCCGAGTAGGGATTTGCAATTCTCTCTCACATATCTTAATCGGTTGAGTAATTTTCTACTTCTTTATTGTAACCATGTCCGGTTCTATCCCAAATCAAGTTAATTTCTGCCTTACCTTGGCCGAATTACTGAGTTTACTGTCTTACCTTGCTTCTCACCATAATGATTGGTGTGAATATAGCTATTTTTGTGACCCATAGTCACTGATATTATTCCTAACTTGCATCTTTAAAACTTACACAATATGATATATGTAATACTTTATCATAAAAAGCCCAGTCTTTCCGTATGGAACTATTCATTCTGGATTATACAATGCAACATATTTTGTCAATTTTCGAATGCAAAGGGTTCTGATTCTGGTAAGTATCACATGGATATATGAAGTTATGCTCTTTCCTTATAAAGTAGTTAATCATATGTAGACGCTACGAAATGTCGGTACAAGACTGGAAGAGCACGACCTTTGGACATAGAGGTTAGAAAGGAAAATTAATCAATCGTAATCCAAGTAGATGCATATGATTCTTTGAATTCTATATACATTCGGATGTGCCCTTGGTGCTGTATACAGTAGTTTATGTAGTAGTCAATGTCCACAGAAAAGTATATAATATATTTTCTGGGTTTAATCTTTACTTGTTTCAGTCTTCCAAACTCTGTAGATCTCTCTCATCAGCTAGCTAAACTGCAACTTATGGAGGAAAAGATGAAGATTTTGGTGCCAATTTTGCATCCTTCGCAAGTGACCACTATTGATGTTAGCCAGCTGCACCAGGACTCTCACACAAGGTCGGTATTGGTCAGAAGTATTCACCGTGCTTGCCAAGAAATGGGGTTTTTTCAGGTAACCAAAACAAAAATTGCATGTTGATTTCCCGGTTGTTCTTAAATTGTTACCCCAGATAGTATATTTAGCGTTGTACTTTCTAGGTTATCAATCATGGAATAAGCAAAACAGTCACTGAAAATGCTCTTGGCTCGTTGTCAAACTTCTTTGATTTGCCAATGGATCAGAAGAAGCTATTCTCGTCTGATGATATAAGCAAGCCAGTAAGATTTGTGACTAATTCGAGGGACTTTATCAAACTTTATGCCAACCCTATTGAAAATTGGATTGATTTATGGCCTCATAATCCCACAGAATTCAGGTAATTAAAATCTTTCTTCAAAGTTCTAATGAGTGTGATCACCAAATAATGGGGGCAATGTTAATTTGGATTCTTTTGTACTATTTCTTTTTTTATATTTTCACGAATTCATTTACAATTTTTGCCTTCATAGTCACAATTTGTTTGTAATCGGGTCCCCATAATTCTTTTTAATTTTTTATTTCACGAAAGTCATCATAGATCTTGAATTCAGATCCTCTCCTGATCTCACAGTCTGAAACCAACAAATTGCGTAATCCATACCCTTGATTTTTGTGAGGTGGGCCAGTAGGAATGACTACTGGGGCATAAGATTTGAAATGAGGGTCTAGAGGATTACTCAATCTATCTGCTCGAGACTACGATATCTAGAGAGGATCTCGATTCATAGATTTGAACTCAATATTTCTACCTAACAAAGTGAAATTATAGTGCTAAGAAGTTAAAATAATCAAGGACCAAGTCCCTTCGTATTGTTTTGTTTTTCCTATTTATTAATGTGTGTTTTGAACACAATGATATCGTTGTTTAGTTGGTATTATGCTTATGTCCAAAATTAAATTATTGTTTTCACATTTCAGTTAGGAATTAACTTGATATTATTTTGTTAGAGAAAATTTGGGAAGGTATGCAGCGGAAGTAAAGAGATTAAGCATCGATATAATTGGAGCCATAGTAGAGAGCTTAGGCCTCGGTCCAACCTACTTGAGGAGCAGCCTGGGGCAAGGAATGCAAATGATAGTAGGCAGCCGATATCCTAGGTGCTCCTCATCTAGCAGTATACTCGGAACATCGTCACATACAGACCACAGTATCATCACCATCATTCTCGAAAGTACGTCGGGGCTTGAGATTATGGATTTCGCAGACAATAATGCTTGGAAGTCTGTTCCGGCAACCGACGCTACCCTTAAGGTTCTAGTAGGGAATCATCTCGAAATACTCAGCAACGGGTTGTACAAGAGTGTTTTCCACAGGGTGGTTCCAAACCCTGAAAGGAATAGGATTTCTATAGGTAGCTTTCTTAGCCTACCCATGGAAGAGATAATGGAGCCTGCCATGGAGCTCATTGATGAGCAGCATCCCAAAAGTTACAAGGCAAGTAGCTTAGATGAATATATCAAGTTTCTCTCCTCCAAAGAAGAAAAATCCTACATAGAGAGTTTGAAGATTTGAATAAATAACTTGATCGGACACTTTAGCTATGTATTGATATTTTCTTTGTTGATGCATGCGATATTGCGGAGGGAAAACCACGTTAGGTATAAAGGTGAATGTTCTTAACCAACTAAATATGAGCAATCGAGTGCCTATATGTATTCATGTTAATAAAGATGGTTTGTGTGGTTCATCCTTTACTCAATTTTCTACCATATCTTTAAACTAAAATTGTTATCTACCTGTACATATTTGATAAGTTAATCGTTGCAGCTATTATTTGCTGATATTAGGTTGTTTAATTATAGAAGTCTTTATATGTTTGGTTTCGGTTGTATTTGTGGAGTCATTTTTGTTATTGAACGTTCTTTTATTATGGATAAGTTTTTCATATCCTACGGAGGAAGAATGCGCATATGTCATCTCCTGCGAATAACGCATTTTACCTTAAAGTTTTATAATTAGAAGTGTTTAGTTTCGTAATTTTTATTTCAAAATCATCCAAACAAAAATTTCATTCGTCTAAGAGATCATTTATGCATTCAATTGTATGAAACAAATCAGCGGTGTGAGTTCAAGTAAAAATATTCATGACGAACTGTCAATTGATACAGTTGGTAGACCAAGTTCAGCTTACATACCTTTGAGCAGACTTTGAATTTTCTCAAGGTCTTAGATTCTGAAGTAGTATTCCTTAGTATGCATCTCCTCATTGCAATCGTCATCAAGCTCATCAGTTGCCACACTACGGACTGCACCAAGCGCAACCAACAATGCTGGCATATTTCCTTTAAATGCCTTCATTTGATCAGATGTTGGGGCAGTGGACGAGGAAGACTACATATTTTGTCAAACTTTCCACCTCAATAAGTAGATTCCAAGTCAATATCGCATGACTCAAAACGAGGAAGACTACATATTTTGTCGAACTTTCCACCTAAATGAGGCAGTGGGCTACTGAAGTAAGAACAGTAGCCAAGGCAGATTCTTCCCTCCCTGCAGAAGCGGCCTCACCTTCTTCTTGCTCTTTTCCATGCTAGCACTGACCACTGCTTCCTAAGACCTTCCCCAAGGTATGGAATGCTTTGCAGACGCAGATATAGACCTCTCTGTTGTCAACCAAGTCCTTCTCACCACTAAAACCTAGCCTACCATAAGGACCGCAACTTGCTGACTTGAAAATTCAGTTGTTGTGCATCACTGTCCTCCTTGACTGTTGGGACACCATCGAGATTGCTTCTCGACTCTTCTTTAGCCTTACACTTAACAAAGCTAAATTGAGAACCAATCAAAGATTTAACTTGGTAGCTTAATTCTTCTAACAAGTGATGTATCTGCGAAGTAAAGGAAAGATGATCATCAATTAGCATCATTATGCCAACACAAGGTGGATAACTTAGGAAGTAGAGCATGAAGATTAACAAGTGCAGACTCAACACGAAACCGCAGACGTGACAACTCATTACCTTCCTACGTTCCTACTGATCTTTGGGATGGCCACATCAGAACACCTTCTTGCTTATACAGGTTGTAGGCGGGCCATCAAACTTCATGGCGCACATGATTCCCTAACCATCCACATCTACGAAGATCTTCCGAAGCACTTAGAGACATATGCACCACTTTTCATACTTGGACTTACGATGTCATCACTCTTAATAACTCGACATCATTCTTTAAGTTTCGTGCTCCTTTTAACACGCCAATCACCATGCCCACGCACCTTGCAAACAGCATGCCGATGCTCAGGCCTGCCTACTTTGCCAGTCCAAAAGAAGAATGCAGGCCGATGGTCAGAAATGATTGTTGAGCATGCGCACACCCCATTGCGCAGAACACATTCTTGATTAACCTTGCAATTGGAAGCTTGAAGTCTAAAGAGTTCTGAAAAAGGATGAGATATATAGTCCTTTACAAGCATCATGACAAAGTCCAGGGGGAAAGCAGCATCATTGTGTTTCAGGTAAGCCTTGAAAGTTTTTTCATCTAGCCTCGGCAGCTTCAGATCAAATTTCCCTACTTCAGATAAGATTTTCTCCCTGCATGTACTATGGAACCTTGATGCAGCTCACAGCTTTCTTTGAAGATGACATCGCGCTCTACCTGCCAAAGACGCTAAGAAAATTTAGAAAATGCTCACAATACCTTAATTTAATCCAATGACACTTCTGTTGGTAGAAATGCTAGAGATGTAATGGCTTTTGACTGAATTAGGAAGAACAACCTAATTCTCAAAAAAGAAAAAAGAAAAAAAAAAGTTTAATCGGCCTGACCAGCATCGCGATTCATTCCGTGGCTACGCCCTAACATCAACATCAGTCGACTTCCACCCGCATTGCTGCAACCAACATTTGACCATTTGATTTCCCCCCGAGTTGTATAGCCGGTGCATCTAACCAGTTGGATTCCCCTCGTGATCCTCTCTATAGCTGTACCTCAACATCAGCGCCAACCGGCTTCCCACGAGTTGTATGGCTGGTGCACTAATGGAATAAACAGTATTTGTTTGGCTTTTTCTTGGGCAGAAGCTCAGGGAGTGGTTTTGGCAGCTTAAGGAAGAGCTTGTCCTTGGTGATGTGAAGGATGTTGTTGATGGTAGTGTTCAAGTCTATGTACTTCTTGGTCTAGGCAGAGTTGGTTTGTCTTTTAGTCCTCTCATGTTGTTTGACAGAGATGGGGAGGCGGAGTGTTGTAGTCTTCCTTTTTCCGCCCAAGCTTCTTGTTGGGGTCTAGATCACGAGCCTTCCTCATATTTTTGTCATCCTAATCAATGAGGTCATTTGCTACATCAAAGCATTCCGCCAGGGTGGCATGGTCATATTACTTCTTGTTTGACTTTTGAAATCAATGATGGCAAGCATGTCGTCAGGCTTCTCTGCTTCAGCTAATTTCGCACAGAATCGCTTCAAGCCCTAAGACTTTCATCCTTACTTTGGGTAACCATGCTGAATATAGCTTTGTGTCATTTCTTGACATCGCGATACATTGAGTAGGTGTTGGTGTAGATGCCAAAGGCAAGATAAACTGAGGACAAGCAGACTCCTTAATAGGAGATGATAACCTGAGCTATTACAAGGCATGAACTAATAGAGTTCCAGAAGGTAATAACCCAATTATCAAGCCAAAAAGGCTTCCTAAAAAATCCACAATCAAGAAAGGAGAGCTATTCCATCCTGACCTGGAAATTACATGAGAGGGGGACATGGAAGACTAGCCTTAGACAAGACCATGACAAGAGAGGGGGGAGGCGATGAAGCCCAATTAGAAGTGCACACCCTCTATAGCGCCAAATTAGCAGCGGCATGAGCTGCTTTGTTTGCCGACAGCAGGATCCAACTCCAATGAATGGAAGAAAAGGAAGAAGCTTGTCTCCTAATTTCCTCCAATATTGGAAAAATTCTCCAGAGACCTTTGGAGAAATTCTTATGATTCAATCAGTAACATTCTTACACTCACTCTCAATCACAACATCAACGAGGTTATGTCTTTTTGCCAACTTAACTCCCTCCAAGACATCTTTCGCCTCCACCTCCTCAGTTGATGCACGAGATAAGTGAAAAAATTCACCTCCAAGTGAAGACCCCCAAGAATCTCTCAATATCACACCAACATCCGACTCCCTAGAGGTTGCCTTCAACGCCCCATCAACATTCACCTTAATCATTGGATGAGATGGATGATTCCAAACTATAACCCGATTTCTGTTTGTATTGACCATTCGAGAAAGCACCATCGTACACCTGTAATTCACCATTTCTTGTATCGAAACAAAGCACCTCTAGTTCACCAGGACAGGGTTAGGATTCCTAGCATGAAAAAAAGCACTGCAGTGTTCTTTCCATATTTCCAAGCAGGTAATACCAATAATAATGGCACGATGGTCACGAGCATCAGGATGAGTAGTATTAATCATGTCAAGAAGCCATTTGTCAAATGAAGAAATTCTTTGAGCGCAAGGGCGATAACCAATTTGAGACCCAAACCATACCGGCAATGTCCATGAGCAAAGCAGTAGCATGTGTTCAATTGTTTCTTCTTGTGAATTACAAATAGGAAATAAGGTTGGTAGTGAGGTGTGGATGAGCAAGCGTCGACCTGGTTGGTAAATAAGTAGATGTTGCCCTCCACAGAAAATTAGATATCTTTGGGATCACTTTTGCATTCCAAATCAAGTGCCAAACCTTCATATCAATCTGGTGAGAGGAATGAGGATGAAATTCCTCACTAGGGACCCGAATGAGGTGAGCTCTATGGTAGCCGTTTTTCCCTGTAAAGTCACCATTTTATCCAAGGCCAAACAATTCGATCATGACCGCCATCTCTTTGTCGTTCATGGTGGTGAGGTGTAACTACCCTTTATCGCCTACTCTACTGATCTTGTACAGACCAAACCAGTTGCGCAGCCTAGGAGGAATGCAGACGCAAACGAAGATTGGCACCTACAATGGATCCAAGGTGAGCGTGTGGTGTGATGTGAGCATACACGTGAACCTTGGCCCTGGCCCTAGGCGAGTACTACACTGGTGCAAGAATGCATGATGAGTAGGTGTAATATATATGAACATGCCATGACAATATATAAATCTCAACAATATAATGATATTTTTAAAATTAAATAAAACATGGCATGATAGGCATAAAATCAAAGGAAAACTAATGAAAAGGGCTTGAAAACTTTGAGTTTTAACGATAAGGACAAAATAAATGGTAAAGTGAATAGTACCATGATTGATTTTTTAGTGTAAAAATGTGATTTTTCGTTAAAGTAAATAGTACCGGGAGCTTTTCGTTAAAGTTCCCTAAAATCAATCCAAAAGCATTTGTTGAAACTATAAAACTTTATATATAATATATAAAAACAAATGCCCACTCACTGATACATTGTCGAATCGTAACCTTCTAGCCTTGCTTGTCCATGTACCTCCTCGGGGTAATTCTCTCTTATATGTGAAACAACTATAGTAATTAATTAATTAGGACATATACTAAAAGGCTAAGAAAATCCTCCATAGTTTGCTCAAACGAAGTGTTTAAATATACGAAAACATTCTACACGAAGTCACGGACTTCTGCATGACAACCACTCGCTGCCGCCGTGGCCACCGTCTGGTTCACCGGATTCTGGAAAAAGTCGTCGGATTTCTGGAAATTTTTTAAAACTTCATAACTTTCTCAATTCTCAACCATTTTCGATGTACTTTATATGGAAATGAAGCTCAGGAAGAGGAGACCAAGTTTATACCTCTTAAAAGTCCAAAAGGTGGACGGAAATGGACTAAAATTATCTCAAAACTCTCGGCCCTAATTCCAATGTCCCAAAACTGTGCTTCTACATGTTAGATTGACTTCCAACTTAGGTTAGTGGCCACGGGGAGTTGAGTAGGTGCTTCCAAATCTCCCAAAACCTTGTAACAAGAACTAGAAATCATCAGAGATTCCACCAGCTCCAAGTTGCTCCGAGTTGGAAGCTCAAAACTCAACCATTTTAGGATCGGTTTGTACAGATGGACTCGTAAGGATGAGAGGAGTACGATGGTGGTGGTTTGAGGTTCAATCTGTGAGATTTGATGATGGGTCTTAGTTGATGCAGAGAGAATGGAGACCTGGCGTGAGGGAAAGAAGAAGAAGAGAGAGAAAGACAAGAGAGTTTTTGATTGGTAAAAAAGAAGAGAGATTTTTGATTGGGTGAAAAAGTGGGAAGTGAAATAATTGGTGGTGAGGTATGGTCACGGGACCAACTTTTAAAAGAGAAAAATGATAAGATTTTTTGTATAATTCAAGGTACATGAAATCTATCTCCTTATCAAAAATAGTAGTTCTAACACTAAATAATTAACACACTTTAATTAAGCATAACTTTTTCGTTACAAATCCGATTCGGGTCTAACTTGCGCTCACGCATTCATAACAACGAGTACTATTTAATTACGATAATAGAAAAATAAATTAAAAGCCGAATAACTACGTCCACGTCAAGTTTCACTTTGCCAATAAGGGCATAAACGTCATTTCCCACACTCGGAAAGGAAATTACATGGAAAATTAGGGACGGGTTGTCACACCGTCACTGCCTCCATCTCCATAAGAATTATATAGATCATAATTCAACCAAGAGTCCGCAACCTCAAAACTGAAACTAAAAACCATAAAATAGTTATGAGCAAAATCAAACATGCACAAAAACAAAACAAACACAAACACAAAAAACAAAAACGAAAACAAAAACAAAAACAAAAACGAAACAAAAAACAAAAACAAACAAAAATTACTACCTACTCACGACGGTCCTCGTCAATTTGGTCAGGACTGAAGTTGGTATGTGAGGACGATGGAGGCCCAATCGTGTGTTGGCAGTTTAATAGGGATTCTGCACTTGGCGAGTAACTGTTTGTGGTGGTGAGCAAGGTCAACAGTGTATCGAATGGTGGAGTTTGAATTGATTCCATAGAATTTAAGTTTGCGGTGATCTTCAAGTAGTTTGCCATTGGAAAATAGAGTTAGGTGGTCAGTGGATATAAGCTTGGGTACAAGTTGGCCTTCCTAAATCATGGTTTTGATGTCAAGCACTTTGTCATGGCTTGACAGTTGACACTGTTAAACTGAAGGATACGAAGGTTTCATGCTAAAATATAAGAGCAACATTATGAAATCAATAAACCCTTAAATCATAAATAATTAAACGATGGATGCAAGATGAATAATCCAGAGTGGCAAAGATATAGAAGAACGTTGCTGGCTCTTTGAATAATTTTGTCTTTCTATAACACTAGAAGACACTATATGGTTAGTTTATATAGAGCTCCCGGCCGAGTCCTTTCCTTGTTGATCAAGGGAAAACCCTTCCCTTCTTGTTCAACTATTTTCTAAGCAGTACTAGACGTGAGTTACTCGAAAAGAGTTGTTTTTCGAAAGAAAAAAAAAAAAGAAGAAACTTTGTCCAAACTTTTGATGAAAATTCCTTAGTAATGGATGTGAGTTTTTTTTTTTTTTTTGACAAAAAAAAAGAAAAAGAAAAAAGATATGAGTTGTTAATCAACATGTAACAAATAAGTGGAGTTCTGGTCCTACACAGATTTACATCAATATACTAACAGAGTTTTTAGCGAATTTGGACAACAAATGCCAAATTGAGGTGTAGAACAACCATGAAGGATTAATTTGAAACATAAAAGACGAAATTTGTGAATCTCCAAAACATCACAGATCCAAAACTTTAATTTTGTTAACATAGGCATATGAGTGTATAACAAGGAACCTCAACTTATGTTAACATAAGCACATGAATGGACTACAAGAAGGAACCTCAACTTTCTTAATATAAGCATATGAGTGGACAACAAAAGATCCTTAATCTTTTATGAGAGAAGAATAATACTCTAAGATATAATTCGGAAATCTTTGATCAAAGTATCGAGCCCGATTAAAGAAGGCATAATTCGACAAGAAAAAGGAAGACATAAAGTTAAGGGTAGTTTTGGTAATTTAACCATGTCAAGACTCTGAAAAACACTGCCAAGCGGCGTGTTTCTTTTGGGAGCCGATTGCTGGCCTAAGTTTACACATTTTCTGGTAAGCAGAGAAGCAGACCCCATCACTTTGCCTCCTTGTGCCTAATGATTTCCGACTTGCACTTCAGAGCAAGCAAGGTGGGAATTATCTGAAAAAATAAAACGAGAGAGAGAAGCGCGAGGCCTTAGCTTTTGAGGAGAGAGAGCGCTTCGGCTTTTGAAAAGGGATAGAGAAGCTTGTTGAGGAATGGAGGGGGGCAGCAACAGTAGCAAGAGTGGCGTGGTGGTGGTGACCAATGAGAGAAGGCCAAGTGGGGGAATCCGAATCCAGAATCCGTTTACCTTGAAAGTGGGTCAAGTATTTACAGGCTTTGGCATAGGCTGCGGTGTTGGTATCGGTGTTGGCCGCCCCATAAATCTAGGTACTCTCTCTCTCTCTCGTACAGCTTTCTCTCTCTAAAATCTAATTTTATATGGAAGATGGACTTGGGGCGGCTCTTCAAACCCAGAAATGGTGAAACCCATCAGACACAAGTTGCTAAGAAACCTGTATTACTTCCCAATTTCTCTGTCATTGCAATTGTTGATTGTTTTTAGAAATTGCGTCTGTTTGGTTACTGAGAAAATGTAGGAATTTGTGCACAGTTGTCTTTATCAGTGTGTAATGAGAAGTTGTGTTTAAGTCTCCCTCTGGCCATTACATCACTTTATTCTGCTCTATAAATTCAATGTTGAACTTGGTTGCATTCAAAGAAATGAATTATGCCACCATTGTTTAACTACTAAGCTATTAGCATTTCGTATGGTGAAATATAGAAGCCAGTTTTTGGTTGTCATCCATTACAATTGCTTCAATTTCGAGTGGGATCAATCAAATAATGATTGCTTTGTTTTGAAAACAATGGAGTTCTCGAGAAAGTTTTAGGTAATCTGTGAGGCAATGGGTTTCGCACGGTGCTTAGGGGCATATGGTAGTTATACGGTAATGACTAATTATAATACTACATTACCATTGTAGAACTGCTAACCTTTACATGGACCGGCTTATAATATGTATGATTGATTCCTGCCTACTTTGGTTCCTTTTTCTTTTTGGGATAATGCCTACTTTGATTCCTGGTAATGACTAGTTATAAGACTTTTTTAATTCTTGCGTAAGTAACGGTGGACTGGTAAAGTTGCCTTGCTTAACCGGTACGGCAAGATAGGTGATTGTGTTTAGAAGAATACTGAGTCCGTATCCATGATCTACTGGAAAAAATTTATGTTGAGTTGTCTAATACTAGTTCTTTTAAAACAAGACTCCCCTTGCCCTTGAAAAGGCAGCTGGCATATTTTAAGATTGTTCTGGACTAGCTAACCAGGGTTGTCTTAGAAAGTCAACATTAATCAGATAGGTGGACTAGAATTGCATGTAATTTCTGAAAACTTGTACGTTTCCTTAATCCTTTTTGAATTCAGGTAGGCATATCCCCTTCCGAATTATATTGGGAATTAAACAAAGACGAAAATAATATAGACTCAGTGCTGGCCCCTAGAGTAATTTTCATCTCTGCAACTTATGATTGAAGGCTGATATTGCTACTGTTGGCTTTTACTTATCCTTAGAAAATTTAGTGAATGGTTCACACAGATGTTTTTGTGTTTTTATTCTATGAGGATTATCTGTCCGTGGATACCTATAGATGTCATTTATTTTCAAGCCTTTTTAACATATTTTATTTCCCTTAGCGTGAAAAGCAGAACAAGGAATAAGAGGAGTAAGAAACAATTTGTTTTTGCAAGCATGTCTTAGTCCATGTAATTCAGTACTTAACTGTTTGATATTAGATGAGTGTTTAAGTCACGCAAGTAGTTATGCATCTTTTGATGTAGAGATACTATTGACAATACTACAATCAACTTTCTCTTCTATGGTTGTTATGCTTGTAGATATTAGCTTACTCCTATTGATTTAAACTATGTACCAGGTGCAATACCAGTACTGAATCAAGTCATGGGTGCTACAAGAGGTGCCACTGATGCATTATCTGGTGCTAGCAGACATGTAAACAACGCTGTAAGTCAGATATCTTCCTCTTTTCTTGTCTTTTTTGGTTCTCTGAGTATCCCTGTCATTGCCATGAAAAGAAAAAGATCAAATGAGTCGTATACTTACAAACTTCCCCAATCTCTATCCCGGTTTCTCATTTTCCAGTTGAGGAAGGTGGGAGCCAAGAACATTGAAGCGGGCATTGGATGTGGAGTTGGTATTGGTCATGGTTTTGGAGTTGGTATGTCATTTCATGTGTTTCAATGATATTCAGTAATATGTTCTGTTTCATGTTTTTCCATTTCTGATGCACTATTATGGAGACTAATGTTCACAAATTCCTGGTGAAATCTATGGTTGTCAAGCAATTTGAGTTCATGTAATGCATTCTGATAGCTGGTCTTCGTGTCACCTAATTTCTATCAGAAAATTTTGTAGGATATGTGTCACCTAATTTGTATTTGAAAATTTTGCAATGTAAACAAATTTGACATTTATGGCTTCATGTTCTAGGTTAGTAGTACACTATCATGCATGTTTTGGTTTGAAGGCTTTCACAGCAGCCCTTCAACTCTACTTATTCTTTTTTTGTGTGTACCATACCTTTTGAGTGTTTGTTAATTTAAAAATCATTATTATTTATTTCGAATTTAGTTATTGGATTGGCATTTGGTGAAATTGGAAAAAGAAAAAGAGTGAAAGAACATTATGGCATGGAATGATCTTTTTCTAGACTACTACTGGAGATGTTGTCAGTGATTAAATGTTAATAACTTTATAGTTTATATGTTATTCATACAATTTGGCTTTACTTAATGACATTGGGCCTAAATATGCATATAGGCTTCTTTAAAAATTCAATTGGCAGCAAATCCTTTGACCTTGTATGTCAGTGCTCTGTAAGTTGTACATTTTAATAATATTTGTTTTCAGTAGCTGAATTATTGACTGCTGATTGCAGGCCTTGCTCTGAAGCCAGGGGTGTTGCAACAAATTCAGTTTCATTTTGTAGTAAGTATTAGTTTCTCTGGTCAGGTGTTGTTGCCGTTTACAGACTACTGATATATATAACTCTGTATTCTTTAGCAAGGAATGACAAAGATAATGACGAAGTTTGGAATTTCTCCCAATTTAGCCATTGGTCAAGGTGCCCTCCCAAGTTCTTTGCAAAGTGCCATGGGAAATGTAAATGACCCGAGCCAAAATTCAATGGGAAGTAGCATGCCGTTGTCAACAAAACCACCAGACCATACATCTCTAAGTTTGCCTGGATATGGAAATAATGGTACTGGTTCTCCGGTTGATACACCTCTTGGTAGTCGAACAGAAAAAGTTCTCAGCAGTTTTCTTCAGAGTCCACTTCTGAAGGGAGAGGACAGTGAACCAAATGAAGGGGTATGTAACAAATAAAACATATTTATTTGTCAATTTCCTTGCTTAGAGGATTATTTATAATTTCCAATCATCAGAGCATTAATGATACGTTTCTCTTGACTTTTACCGCATACCCTTTGGTTTGACTCCGTTAGTAGAAAGTTTCGAGAAAAGAAAAAACATTTATCTGAAGTAACTTCTTTCTTGCAACCTTACAGAAGGGGCCAGGGGCACTTTCTCTTCGTATTTTCTTTGGTGGGGGTGCCTGCAGTTATAAGTCTGTTGTTGGGATTAGGTCAACAATAATTCTTGCAGATGTGGTTATTGTGAAGTTTTTAGTTAATGACAATCTAAGTGCTATTGAAATTACTTATCCGCCTAAAAGCAGTTCAAAAAGTATACAATTGCATATATGCATTTGATGGACAATTCAAATGAACTCTCCACTGACGTATGTGTCCATGATTTCTTACTTTTCATACTGATCTGATCCCTAATATGCTAATATGTTAAGTGATTATCTAATTCTTGATTTTACTTATGTAGGCTGGACGCTTGAGGTCGGAGAACAAAATCCTTCAAATGGTAATGTTTAATATTTCCGTTTGTTAGCATTGCTTTATTTGTTAATATAAATTAAAATTGGCAAACTGAAATTGCCTATGCATCAGATATTGAAACACCAGCAAGTCATTGAAGAGCTGATGGAGGAGAACGATAAACTTCGCCACATACTAGTGGAAGACCTGAAAGTCTCACCTAGCAAGCTGCAAGCAAGTTATTCAAGTAAAAACAGATCTCCATGTACAGATTGTTTTGAGTGTCGAAGAAAACAAAGGAGAAAATAGATGAAGTATAAAGTTCTGGTAGATGGCTTTCAAGTTCAATGACAACAACAAAAGTTATTAACCAACGCCCCTTTTAACATAGAGTTTGGACCTTGATGGATTTGCTACCCGGCCAAACAAACACCAAGGAGCATTATCTGGGTTCACTGGGTTATAAGCTAATCAAAGAAACCGTACAAGTATAATCCAAGTTACCTTACAGAGGTAAGCATTACATATACAAACCAGTTGAGGTGAGGTGCACTGGTTAAAATTTACCTCCTTGTTTCTGGGTACCTTTGTGCTTAACATCGTCCTTTACGTTCATTGAACACATTTGTTAGGCACAGACGATTGCATTTCTTTTAAATTGGCTGCAGCTTTTGTTTCCTTTGGTTCGTGGCATACTCTCTGCGTTATGGTCATGTTTTGCACCGCAAGAAAGTACCCTTTTTTTTTTCAAGCTGTTTAATACGAGAGCGATGAATTGTAACTACATTAATTGACCGTTGCAATAAATTGTTTTGATTATTGTAAGTAGACTCCATATATCACACAATGCGGTCTTTACGCGGTCCAATAATGTGTTCTCTCTAGCATTACTTGTTTTTCGCTATTTGACATAGATGCCCTGTTGTCCTACTAAAAATACATCACAACTCAAAGAGGAAGTATTTTACTGTATCAAAAAGCTTTGTTCCATCATAAATGGGCCACGCAGTAGCAAGGCCCATGGGCTTTAAGTGTGCAGGCGTACTGTCCTGAGATGTGGGCCATTGGTCCAGGTTCTCTGGTGTTTCCTATTTGATGGCCTATCAAGAAGATCGGGTGTCAACAGTACTACGGTTTAGTAATATTCATTTTTATTTGTAAGTCAAAGGCCTTTAGTTCGAATCTCGTGGTTGACGAATTCAATACCAAATTAGGTTACTCATTGTATAGCTTAGCCGAACTCTCATGTCCCCTTAGTGTAAAATATATCATTGTATTTAAAAAATAAAATAAAAAAATAAAAAATAGTTTTCTAGGTTAAGCAAGAAAGACCTATTTTGGGTGGTTTAATCCCATTCTAAGCAATCAAACAAACATAAAGGTAATTGAATTAAATAAATTATAAATCTATTTTTAAGGTTGTAGATATCCTGTTTGATTTGATTTCGTAATATGTCACCATGCTATTTTTGGTCCTTTTGTTCTTTAAAAACATATAACAAAAAATACAAGCAAAGGAAGAGACTTTATTTTTCTTTCAAGATGGCCAAGCTCTCCCCAGCTACTTATTTCTGTCTCCTCACATTGTCGACGACAGGTAAACACTTTGAGCTTGTTTGGTACGCGTGATTAGATTGAAATGGAGGCCTCTCAAATTCCAAACGTTATTGAGTCTTGACAATGGAAGCGAATGTCATTTCATTTTAAGAAGGATTGGAATGAATAAGTTTAATCCTCTAGCTGACCATAATTTTATAATTTATCACTGGTCGGTTATCCATTTCAATTCAATCAAGTGTACCAAATGAGCAATTTGGTTCTTTAGTCTTTCTCATTTCCTCTTCAGTAGTATTTCTAACGGTTTAGTGTAAAATATTCTATCGTTAGTTTAAAAAACAAAATGATTAATCCATTTTTATGGGTTTTGTAGCATTTAATGGTGACTTGGTAAAGGGAGAATCCTATTGCACTAATGATTTGGCCGGTTGTGAATGTGAAAATCCTTGCTGCAAATCAAATTGTGAATCTCTCTATCCTTTCAGCAACTGGGTTTGGAATACATCGTCTAATTCACCAACGTGCAAATGCCATTACAAATGCGAACAACAACAACAATCAAATGGTCTCGAACTTGAACGACCGTCGAAACCGATCGAAAAACCTTTGACACCGATCGAACGACCGTCGAAATGGATTGAACGGCTGTCGAAACCGATTAAAAGACGATTAGGTGCTAAGGTATGCAACCAAGGTATAGGTCGATGCAGCCCTACATGCGTTGATACTTGTTGTAACTGACAATGTTCCGCCAAATTCTCAGACAGAGAAGGACAGGGATTTTGTGTTCCCTTTGTCGAGGAGTACAGTATGTGTTTATGCACTTTCTTCTGCTAATTAAGTTGATAGAATTAGTAGCTCTTCATTCAAAAACGCATTCCATCTCAACATATGTATAAGTTGAACGTGTCACACATTCCATAAATAAATTTAAACAACTCTCTCTCTCTCTCTATTAAAGATGAAATCGTGTGTGAGGAAGTTCATTGTTTAGCTAGAAGTGACTTTCATCGCAAGTGGTGGATTGTCTTAGTGTTTAAATTTTTTTTTCTTCAATCTACTCCGTTCCGAGTTCAAACTCTCTTTTTTCCCGTAGAGTAATATAGAGTAAAAATATCACTTGCATGACGGTATGAGTTCGAATTCCGTCGCTAACTAATATAACAAAATTTATCGTTCGACAAAAAAAAAATATCGTTTATATTAAAATAAAAAAAATAAAAATAAAAAAATAAAAAAATAAAAAACTTTCAACGAGCTAAAAGATAGTCAAGGTTAGTTCCCAAAGTGATCGAGAAATTTAGGCCTGTTTGCTATCACTTTAGATCTTTTTTTTTTATTTTTTATTTTTTATATTTTTGGTTTTGAAATTTAATCGGTAATAAGTAATTTAGCTCCATTCCTTATTTTATTTTTTTAAATAAAATGGTATCCGAAATGGATACCAAACATGCCCTCAATTTTCTTTCAAAGATTCTCATCATGAACAATAAACTTTAGTGTTTAGTGTTACAGATTAGCGAAGAAGAGACCTGTATCTTAACAATAGGGGCCTTATGCCACTTAGTACTACAGTTTAATAGTATTTCTCTTCACTTATAAATATGAGGTCTTATGTTCGATTCTCGTTAAAGGTGAATTTGAACCACATTATTGTTAGCCCCTTATGAGGCTTAGCCTATTCTCTCACACTCTTAATGCAGATAATATCGTTTGTTTAAAAAAAAAAAAAAAAATTGGGGCCTCCTCCATAAGAAAATATACTTTTCCTCACTGAAAATTTTTAACTGAACCTTCTTCACATAAATGAGGAATTATGTTTGCACCTATATGTATACTTCGTAATCGAAAGTTATACGGTACCCTTTACCCAAAAAAAATTAAAATAAAAGAAAGGTACCAGTCCTGTTGTTTTAATACAATTAAAGAATTAATTTAGACTATAGAGTAAATTCAATGAATTATCTTGAATTTTTTGCAACGATATTTTACATTGGGTGAAGTATTTAGGCTATGTCACATAATGAGCCTATCTCAACATTGTGGTATTGAACTTACTGTCCACGATAGTCAAATTTTAGAACTCTCACTTACAAATGAAGAAGAACACTAATATTGTATTACTAATGACAATGGTAATGGATCAACTTTAATTGTTATAATGCTAACGTCTTGTTACAACATAGACATAAGATATTATTAGTGAACATCATGAATGACCAATGATCGTTATTCATATTTGGGACCAGAACAGCTCTTCCTAGGCCTCCCTTAGCTTCTGGGGTCACGGGGATCCCTATCCCTCGGCCAAAGAAGAAAGCCAAGACTGTTGCTGCCTCTACTCCTCAGGCTTCTCTCCCTGCTGAGACTGCTTCCACTGCTGCAACCTCTGAAGGAGTTGGAGAGATGCCCCCACCCCTTACATCCAACCTGTAACAGCATCCTTCTTCAAATTTATTGATGTTGCAACTCGACTGTTAAGTTTCAACGTAAGATTGCATATTATAGTCATCAAAGTATTCTAAATATGAAATATGTGAATTGGTCATATCTATATATAATTCCCTTTTGTTGAGGGATCCTTCAAATAAGTTTATTTGAGACATCTTTTGTGAGACCAACGACCCCATGTTGTATTTCAACGATCCAACAATCTATTATCTAGGTCTTTTTTCAAAGATTATCTCTATCAAAAATCACCCAAAACCCAAAACAATTTGACCGTTGGATTAAATGGTAACATCAAGCTTCTAAAAGACGTTAGGCGCTAGTTGGGCAGCGGGTTGAGGCCTAGCGCCTAGGCGGGTGCCTAGGCAGATTTAATTATATCTATTACATTTCATGTAAACAAGTGTCTATTTATACTTCAAATATATATAATTTCATCATAAACTGCAAAATAGAATGACATATATATTATGAGCTATTGGAACATAATGAAAACATGGGAAACAAGCATATAATGTGTGTTCATTTAAGTATTCAACAAGTCCCTTACAATTTAGTGAAAACAATAAATTGCAAAATAAAAGTTATCTATTTTTTGTCTAAGTGAGTTGCAACCTAGGCAAATACTTAGGTGGGTCTTGGCGGGCTAGAGGGTGCCTAGGCGGTCTAGACGGGCTCCTCAGTAGGTCTAGGAGCCTTTTCTTAATTTTCAAATCCTAGACATTAATCGAGGCAATGACCAGCCACCTAGCGCCTAGGCAGGGATTTTTTAAACAATGGGTAACATATTAGCATTCTTTGAAAACTTGTATTTGTGGTAGCAAAATCCTCTATCTTCAGTCTTGAAGTTAGTTTCTCTTAAAAGAGTTGTATGCGTAGCAAAAAGCTCACCAAAATTTGGTGGAGATGGAGGTATTTGTAGGAGGAGGTCGCCAGCCATGGGGTGGATTTTTCCCTATACATGGAGGCATCTTATTGGCCATATACATGGAGGCATCTTATTGGCCAAGGTGTCATCTGTTGGATGAATGAGGAAAGAATATTCCTACGATATTAATTAGGAGGAAATATCTTGAATAATGATGGAAGTATCCCAAATTGATTGTGAGAGGGATCCTTACTTGGTTAAGTTGAACTTAAAAAAAAATAATAATAAAAAAAAAAAAGGATTTAGTAATTAACCCTATTTTTAATACCTTTGACTTTTCCACGATACAATTAAGCAGTCGTAGTTAGCTGCTTAGACCTTTAGGAATGCTGAGCTACGGGTGAGAACAGTTGAGGATCCTAACCATTTAATGAGGACAATCTTGTATTCTTGGAACAGTTCACATATCGTCTTTTGGATTTTTGGGATTATTTCTGGCTACAATATTCGTCTATTTCTTTACTCCAATTGGATGTCTTAATGATTTTGGATTTGTCTAATTTTTGTAAAAATACTTTATAAATGATGCACTAAAATATAAACGTTTGGATTGTTAAAAGAAAGTTACGGAATGAGCAACACAAAATGTCCCTCAAATACAATTATTGAGGAATCTCTCAACGGAAGGGAACTCTCTCTCTCTCTCTCTCTATCTCTCTCTCTCTCTCTCTCTCTCTCTCTCTCTCTCTCTATATATATATATATATATATATGTAATTTTTGGTAGAAACTATTTTTAGAAAATACTTAAAGATAGATAGTTTGAATCATTGAAAAAGTTACAGAGTGGGCTTTATAAAATGAATGTCAAAATATGGGTGTTCCCCAATCCTAATTCATGAGCAAATTAATTAGTTAGGTCAGGTGAAAGAATATTGGGAAAAAATCTCCTGAGGTATTGGGAGAAGTCAGCTGCCGAGTGTGTGATGTCCTAGTCACTTTGTGAATAGTAACAGGAAATCTGGGCTAAAGTGATTTCCCGATGTTATTGGGCCTAGCTAATCAAGGTAATGTTGATGCATAAGCATCCCTTTGTGGACTTATATGGACTCATTGCGTAATATATATATATATATATATATATGTGTGTGTACACGAGCGCGCGTATTAGGGTCATATTAGTTCTATATACTATAAATATAATGCTTCCTCATTCATATACCGTAACCTATTGTGTAGAAATCAAGAAGATATCAATCAATCATGTGAATCCGGGTAAGTACAATTTTGTGTTTTAGTTATGTAAACACTGCTAGGTAATAATATTCCACTCCAGATGTAACCACTTCAAGTCTTCAAATTCTTAGTGTGAGTGAGAAAAAAATAGTGCAAGCAAATTTATACCCGTCATGTCTTGACCATAGAATTTAGTAATAGTAAGATGTCTTTATTGTTCGCCGCCTCAAGAACATAAACACATAGCCAAAAATCCTTAAATTCCTTGGTCTCTAACGTTCAAAAGTTTATGACTGAAGTATGAAGAAAAAACTAAGCTTGAATCCATCAAGATTATCTCATAGTAAAAAATGAGTTGCCCACAAGTTTACTTACTAGAATATGATACTTAAATCCGAGATAGCTTATTTTTTTTAACGAGTCTAAGATTTTGTTCGAGTTGAATTTGTTTCTTTTACAAAAACAAATTCGTTGATTAGAATATTGTTATTATCATTTTAAAAAGAATATAATAAAAAATTTTAAACATGGATCATAATTTCGCACTTCTGTAACGAATCTAAATTTTGTATGAGCATTAATTCAGAGGAATCGAAGCTGAAATGAGCAAAAGACTAACAAAACACAAAATGTATTGAACCAAATTTGTAATCCTATGTACAAAAAATGCAAAAACTCTCTCCCTTTCCCAATTTTTTTTGTGGGGCTAAAGAACCATGTGCACATCACTTTCCTATTCATGTTGTTTTGTCACATGCATTGTATTCCCACCATGAACCACCACTAGAAGCCCATTCACCTTTAATCCTTTAACCCACAATAAAAAATTTTTAAAAATTAAATAAAAACAGAAACTACTAGTACTACGGTCTACTCATATTATGTTTTACATGTAAGTAGGTTACGTTTGACTCTTGCAAATACGAGTTCGATACTAAATTATTGTTGATTTATTGTGCAACTTAGTACAATTCATTTCCTTACATAAAAATGCTAAGAAGATTCTCTCAAAAGTGAGATCTTCCATAGACTCTCTACCACCTCACAGTTTAATGTCAATTCTCATGTCAACATTACAAAATATTGTGCCAAATAATGAGGTAACAAAAAGTCCATGAATGGTCTTACTTTTGAGAAAGTCTTCTTAAAATTACAGTATGGTTGTATGAAAAGAAAAGAACACAAATCAAAGGACACCATATATCCTATCCCCAAAAGCAATTCAACATTCCATTTCTTCCACATAATCCTAGTCCATACAGCTAGCACCTTAACCCTTTCAATCTTTCTTCATTCATTCACCACCACTTCCACTACATACCAATAACACCTACATTCCATTCATCACTCCTCCACCTACCAATTCCAGCAAGCCAACTACCTTTTCTATTCTTAGGGCAGGCATTTTTAAACATCTTTTTCTTTTCCCCTTTGCCCTTTTTGATTAATTGGTTGAGTTCTTATCAAAAGCTCTTTGATATATTCATTCTTTCTCCCATGCATCTTTATCAAACAGTTCAAGGTTATTCTATCACTTAATACCCAAGCCATGATTAGTTGCTAGATATAAACAATTACAATGTTGAGAAATTAATTTAGAACCTTCATGGTCAATATTTGATTATTGGATTATGTAAATGTAGTTATGGCTTTTTGTTTTTAATAATCATAAAGCTATTGGGTAAGAGATTTCTAAACCATAGAATTGAAAGTCAGGTTGTAAAGAAAATACTTCATGTGAGCGTTATAAAGTCATATGAGAGGGATTAGCTAATCCCTCTTTCAATGTGTTATTTGCAAATCCTTCGTGTCTTTGTAATGTTTTATGGTGCATTTTCTACATATCTAGCATTTGGGACACTTTAGATGCGGTCCCTAATTATCAATATTCTTTGACTGAAACCTTTGGTTTCAATTTTTTATCGAAGTCCCTGAAATTAATGTGATAACGTAATTCTATGTAGATTACTATATTTTTTTAATTAAAAATTGAAATATATAGTTGTTTATATTAATGAGATTTTAAATATAAAAAAAAAAACTCATAATTTGTGGATTAAAAATATTAAAATATAAATTATACTCTCCAATATATTTTGTGTGTGTATGTGTATAGACATGGGTACATTCATCAAAATTAACAAAAAAATGTATTGTACCAAAATATTGGTACATTCTTCAAAACCACATAAAAAAACAGTAGATATTAGGCTTAATAACATTAGTAAGTTTCTTCGATTAAACTTGATATGGATACATTCTCAAATAATATAAAATAAAAAAAAATAAAAAAAGAATGTACCCATATAAGTTTAAAGATGTATTAGAAAAAAAAAATTGAATAGATTTTATATAAAAAAAAAAATGGGTACATTTTACATACAACAAATTGGTATAGTACATTTTAAGATTAAAAATTTTAAAAATTACGTGAATGTGTACATATAAGATTAAAAAATTGAAAACCTTTTTATAAAAAACTTGAGGGGTACAAACTTATTCTAATTTTTTATTTTATTTTATTTAGGAAATGTTTTGAATTGAAAATGAGTTAGGAGTTTAATAAATGTGTGAGTATTAAAATTCTAAATCAATTATTAATTTTTATTTTAAAAATTATGTAATTGACATGTAAATTCATTATTGCATTAATGCTAGGAACTTTGATCAAAATTTGAAAACTAATAAAGTTTCAGTCAATGAACATTAGTAACTAGGGACCGGATACTAATTTTTCCTTTTTTTAATTACAACATAAGTCTGGTTCTAAAACTGTGAGACTTGTTGCATTGCTTAACCATATGAAATTGAAGTGAACAATATACATAACGTGTATCTACGCTTAGGAATGTAGATTGTATAAGATTTGGAAACACAAACAAGAATGAGGGGGTCTCTGTTTATTCTTAAAGTCCTCATGAAAATGCTACAAAACAAGAGCTGCTATTAATTAAGTACATCCAACAAATTGTGTCCTCCAAACTATCATCACACCCTCCTCTCACAAATCATCATAACATGGAGCTCCCAAAAGTCGTCAACAAAAATCAAAAATAAAAGAAACGGTAAAAAAGTTTTAAAAGAAGAAATATGGAAAACAAAGGATACACATAATGATGATAGACTATCTCTAATCTACATATAAATATCAAACGAGGGCCTTTTTGTGATTAAAAAAGTAGTGCAAGTCCACTTAAGAATGCCACCAAGGCCATGCTACTTCCATGCACAAAAGCACCTGAGCCTGGAGCTGGGGTTTGTGGTGCGCCTGGAGTTGGGGTTGGTGTTGCTCCTGGAGTTGTAGGGGGTCCTAGCATGGCCGGTGCAGGTGGTGTGCTCATTGCAGATGGCGTTGGGCTTTTTGGGGCACCCATTGGACTTGGACTTGATGGGCTGACTCCAGTAGGGGAAGCCGCCATTGGAGGCGGCATAACTGGCGGTGGTGTCATCATAGGCGGCGGTGTCATCATAGGCGGCGGTGTCATCATAGACATTGGTGGTGGTGTCATCATAGTCATCGGCGAAGGTGCCATGGTGGTGGGCGATGGTGGGGCGGAAGATGTCGGTGCTGAGGATGGCCCTTGAGCAATGGACAATGCTACAAAAGCAAGTGACATTGTGAGGAAAAGCATGGCACGTGTGAGGGCCATGGCTCTGTCAGAGCTGAGAGCCACAGATGGAGAGGGAGAGTTAGGGTTTGGTTGAGGAAGAGGTGAGAGTGAGTGAGTGGGAATTATTTGAGGAATAGGGGTGGATATATATAGAGATTACAGGAGTAATTATAAAATCTTTATTGTGGCAAACATTTGAGTGCTTAGAATTTCATGCTACAAGGGCAGCTGGTTGATTTGATTTTGTTTGGCCAATATAAACGGAGAATAACCTTTTCTGTGGTTTGGCCAATATTCTACAAAGCGCATCGATTTGATTTTGTCGCTAAGTGTTTTAGGGTTTGTTTGATAACTATTTTGTTTTTATTTTTCATTCTTGATACTAGAAATAAAAGAAAATAAATGTGTAGGAAAATTGAGGAACGTAGAATGATGAAAACAACTTAAATTTATATTTTTCAGCCTTTTATTTTCAGTTTTCATTTTGTGTTTCATTACATACGTACATATTCCTTTCATATATTTTTCTACCCTCCTCTCACCTTTCTCCATTCCTCATTTCTCCAACATATTTTTCCTCTATTCATAAAATATGAAAATTAAATAACGAATTAGTTATCACACGTACCTTTGTAATTTAGGCCGTACATAACAAATTATTTTGGCATGGTATATTTTTACTATTGGAATTAGAAGAGTCAAACGTTAAACTTTATGTGTCGCATTCGGTGTAAATTAAAATATCGCTTAAATGAAAAGAGTTAGGGAATCACTTTGGCATGCTTCATTTACTCAACAGGAAAATATGTTTCTTAGAAACATTAAATAAAAGCATGAAAGTACCAGGCATTCCTGTGGCAGGAACAATTTTTCATGACAGATGATAAAGAAAGAGACTACAGAAAGAGAGAGGAAGATGCGCTAGGGTTTGTGGTGGACGTTGATAGTTGTGATTACAATTGTAGGCAGAAAAAAAGAACCAAGTAAAAAAATCCAAAAATGCAAAGTAAATGAAATGGTGATCTTAGAGAATAACAAAGCATCATCATTCTTGGACAAATATATTAATGAGATGCAATGATATCAAACAATGTAAGTGTGTTTAAGATAAGCGTGTTTCTTTGTTAAGCATTCATATGAGAGCAGCCTTAGAGCATGTTAGCTACCCATGCAAATGAGGCATTAACAGGTGTGCAATATGCATTTTCAAATGACTTTAGGCCTACCAAGACTCGATGAAATGATGATCTGCATGCTATTTCTGTTAAAAAAAATTTGCACGCTACTCACGCTATTCTTATTGACCCCTTAATATTATTTCCTGGATCCGCCATTGTTTGTAGGGTGACCCTGAAATCGCAAGTCTTTTGGGGACTTCGTCCTGCGCACCACGTTAATGGAAAATACTTTTCTCTTTGCACAACTTAAGGACTTGCTGAGTTGCACTAAGGGTATCCATCCCTTGCCCCACCAAATTTGCACGGGAATCGCAATAATGACAAAAGCATCCCACCAACATACAATAATTTAAAGAAACCCCTCCATTTTAATTAGTATAGTTTTACATGGCATGTATACATTTCTTCTGGACTTGAATTATGATTAGTTACGATATCTACTCAATATCATTAGCACAAAAATATGTTTGTGCGACGAAGTAAATTTCGTCATGCAAAGTATGTTTGCACAACGCTAAACACAAAACGTCGCGCAAAGATTGGCATTGGGCAAAACTACTTTGCGTGACGGAGGTGTACCTACATCGCACAAAGATGTTTTGCACGACAATTGCCCACCTTCGTCACGCAAAGTAGTTTTGCATGACGCCAGCCTTCATCTCGTAAAGTGAAATAAAAAATTTCACTTCTTGTCTTTCTGTCCTGTATTCTAACACAATTCAAAAGCCAGAACAGGGAGATAACAGGATGAACAATTTCTGTATTGAGTAACATTGAAGGAAAAATAGTAGATGTACGGGCTGTGTGCGAATGAGAGAGAGACAGATAAAGTATACAAACAATTTCTGTATTGTTACTAAAGAAAATAAAATAATAACAAACATTATCAAGATTCAAGGTGCTAATTAAACCACCAATTTTCTCAAGGAAAAAGGACCAAGCAAAAAAAAATTGATACTAAATAGTTTCACATGAAATGATTTTGATGATTTTTGTCTCGTTATTTGATCTCTGAATTTTACTTTTTTTTTGCGATTTTTGGCATATGCGATCTCGAAGTATATACAAACAAGTTTGATGGTTGGATCATTGAAACTAGTTTTGTACAATGCGTATCCCATTAAAACAATAGATTCACTAACACTTGGAATTATTTATACTTTCATTAAGTATAATATAATATTTTGTGGTCCACTAGTGTAAATATTTTAAATTGACAATCGAATTAGTTCATTGTATTCATATAGGATCAAGGAGTGTAGCTGTAAAAAAATCATCAAAATCGAAGTTAAAAGAACTGTTAAATTGTGATTTTTCGCTTATAACCGTCAAAAAGTTTTGTCCCGTTACTTGAACTCTGAATGTTTGTTTTTTGCGATTTTTTGCTTATGCGATCTTGAAGTATATACAAATAAGTTTGATGATTGGATAATTGAAACTAATTTCGTACAATGCGTATCCCATTAAAATAATAGATTTACTAAAACTTGGAGTTTATTTATACTTTCATTAAGTATAACATAAGATTTTGTGGTCATATAGGATCAAGGAGTGTAGTTATAAAAAATCATCAAAATTGAAGTTAAAATAACCGTTAAATTGTGATTTTTCGTTTATAACCGTTGAAAAGTTTTGTCCCATTACTTGATCTTTAAATGTTTGTTTTTTGCGATTTTTGGCATATGCGATCTGAAAGTATATACAAACAAGTTTGACGGTTCGATCTTTGAAACTAGTTTCGTAGAATGCGTATCTCATCAAAACAATAGATTCACTAACCCTTGGAGTTTATTTATACTTTCATTAAGTATAACACAAGATTTTGTGGTATTCACTTGTGTAAATATTTTAAATTAACAATCGAATTAGTTCATTGTATTCATATAGGATCAAGGAGTGTAGCTGTAAAAAAATCATCAAAATTGGAGTTAAAACTACCGTTAAATGGTGATTTTTTATTTATAACCGTTGAAAAGTTTTGTCCTGTTACTTGATCTTTGAATGTTTGATTTTTGCGATTTTTGGCGTATGTGATCTCGAAGTATATACAAAAAGCTTGACAGTTGGATCGTTAAAACTAGTTTTGTACAATGTGTATCCCATCAATTTCAATGGTATATATATATTTATTCTTCCATTTTTTTTTTATATATGATTGTATTGAAATTTTGGTTAATATTACCCAATATATTGAAAAATTTGATCTTTTTTGTTTGTTTGTGAATGACTAATTACCTATTGGGATCAAAATATGCGGAAATTAAATCCATGATTAACGAAGTGATAGATGTGTTCATTCCTTGTTTTATGAAAATTGGGGCTTGTCAACCCTTTCAATTTCTTAATGTGAGTCGGAGGGTTATTCATGATTCAAAAAATGTGAAAAATTGTGGAGAGTTTTAGTTGGAAGTTGTTCAGTGTGATATAATTCCTTTTGGAGACATATGAAGTTCTTCGTTCGACATTACATTATTCCGAATTCTGAAAGGCATGCCACTAGTACAAAAAACACTTTGCGCGACACAGGTCCTTCGTCGCGCAAAGTCAAAAAACGTTGCGCAAAACTTAGCGCAACGAACCTTCGTCGCGCCAAGGCAGTGACAGAAGGGTTTGCACGACGAAGAAGAAACATATGACATCCCACATCGCCCAGGAGAGTGATTCTTATATGTATATTCCCATCTCTACCTAGCACGAGGCCTTTTGGGAGCTCACTGGCTTCGGGTTCCATGGGAACTCTGAAGTTAAGCGAGTAGCGCGCGAGAGTATTCCCAAGATGGGTAACCCATCAGGAAGTTCTTGTGTGAGTTCCCAGAAACAAAATTATGAAGGCGTAGTCGAGGCCCAAAGCGGACAATATTGTGCTACGGTAGTGGAGCGGGCCTGGGTTGTGATGAGGGCCTAGGCCGAGATGTGACAAACATGCGTCATGCAAACTCATGTTTTTTTTTTTTTTTTGGGAAAAAATATTTTTTATTTATTTTTTTTATAAATATTGTAATTAAATTATAAAAAATAATTAATAAACCAAGAAAATGTATTTAATTATAAAATATATGAAAATGTACATACAAGATACCCGAACAAAAAAGAAAAAACTACAACAAATAGTTTCCAAAGAAAAATGGTGTAAAGTTGGTGAACAAAGGCTCCTTGGTTTCAAGATTCATCTTCTCACGTTCATGATCCTCGACCCCATGGGACTGAAAAAAAGTTGCATATGCACTTACCTGCAAAGGAAACAAAGAAAATTTTCAGCACTTGAAAATGATCACAAAAATCAAAAGCTCTCCAGATTTCAAATCCTTGCAAGAAGTAAGCAACTAAGTAGCAATGCAAAATGTTTAGGAGGAGTTAAGAATTAAAAAAACAAAAAAAAAAAAAAGGTGCAGAGAATCAATCAGTAGGGATACATTAGCCTTATCAGATTCAATGAATGAGAAAGCTTGACTGTCTGCAACATGCCCGATTTATCAGTTTCCTTGCTGGGAAGAATCTCAACTCTGCCATTGCTTATGAATGTATAAGGATCACTACAATGTTGGATGCGAATATCAGTCTAACATTCATTTCTCATCCCAAATAGAAATCAATATTCGCCAAAGTTAAGAAGAAAAATATATTGGAAAGAGGAGGGTTGGTTGCTAGGAATAATACCAAAAATCAATACATAAACATTAATATTTCTAGTTAGGTATATTAGTTGAAGAGAAATATTGATCAATAAAGGAGTACACAAAATCATAAATGGAAAATCAGGGAGTCTATCAATTCTTTCACCATAGTGTCAGAAGCCAGTCAGTAACAGCAGAAGGCTAACCTCTGAGGCATAGAGTTCAAATCAGTAAGGGAATCTTCAACTTGGAATTTTCTCAAGTGCATGGATGAGGGTTCAACCTTGTATCAACAAAGAAGCAAATTAAGTCAATTCTGCTCCTTAAACACAAAACTAACATAAGGAAGAGTTGCATTTTACACACAGCACCTGCAACAATTTTATGTCTGGATTTTTACATTTGCATGTAAATGGGTATTTGACTGTGGCCGAAAGGGACAACTGTGTCAGCAGTCAGCACTCGAGAATTTAGGATGTAAGGCTGTAGAATTTGAAATAGACATAGTACCACACAAATTGTAGGTTGATTGCCATCAGAGGAGCCTTCATTTTCCACCATTTCTAATATAACAATAATTGCAACATTGTCCTGAAAAATTGCATACAAGAAGCTGATATAACAAACAGATGGGAAGCAGAAACAAAAGCCCCACTAGAACAGAATGCACATTAAAAACCATAAAAGAAGCTGATATAACAAACAGATTGAAAGTGTTTCTAACCCTCCAAACTACTTCTCTCACTCTTTTAACATGTTCTATTGCATCTAATATAACCAGGAAGATCGCCATTGATTTAAAATCATAGTGTTCTTTTTAAAAGGAATATAATTGGATGCTTCCTGCCCCTATTAAATTTTACTTGAAAATATATCAGCACAAGTAAACATACATACTAGTCTACATTTAAATGTCACCTGCAAATTTAGGCCCAGAAACAAGCCTTATATGGTAGCTTAAAGGATCGCTCTTCAACCAGCCAGCCAAAACATACACCACTTTGAACCAATTTTCATGATTTTCAACAAACTCCTGGAGTAACCTATACAAAACAACTCTTAATCACTTATAAACAAGAAATGCAACCCACAAGCTTTGAGATAGTTCCTATACCTCTTTGCAGCATTCAAAGACACCAAGTAATTTCAATTCAGCCACTTGTAGGAAACCTATAACATAATTCAGCACCGAAAGTAACTAAATTTAGACAATCTTATACCAATTTAAACACATCTTAACTCAAATTCCAATCAAGATTTTTTTTTTTTAGTGGGTATACATGAAATTGAATGTATAATCAATCCTAAATGCCCCACCAAAGGAATAAAACCTCCATCCCCTGCACTCAGTCACCAAACTGCTGCTCCACTTCAATGATTCAATATGCGCCTTCCCCCAATTAAGGTAAACAAAATTTAGTTTCCTTTTTTGGGACAAAAGGGAGAATATTACACAAAGATGGCATCATAAAGATCCCCAAACACCAAGGTACAAGCACAGAAACTAAAAGAAGCTTTGAATCAAATGGAGGATTGGAGTAGGAGGGATTGGGGGTGCCATGAATTATACACATGGAGAATTGGAGAATAATGCACATGCTTTTGTAATTGGTCGGTTTCAAAACCCAAATTAAGGTACTCAATTTAATTTATCTTCTGAGTATAACATAAAAAAGGTGTGTGTATGTGAATGTGATATGGGTTCTTCCCAATTTCATCCTAGCAACGTAAAAATATATTTTTATTACAGTCATTCATCAAACAAGGTTGGTTTAATCTCTTCTAATGTGCATGCAGCATTCTATGACCTCTTGCCGCATTCTATAACCCATATTAAGGTACAAATGCTTGATTAAAGCGCATAACAAATGGATCTTTTCTTAGAATTCGCAGAAAGCTAGAGATTAAAATTAAATAACTGAAAAAATATATATGAGAAATTAAGGTGGGCTCTATTATAAGAAATTAATTAACTTTAAAAAACAGAGACCTATGAAATTGGGGGAAAAGGGCAGCAAATTTTTACCTTTGTGATGGCTGTCGAGACAACGAGGTGGACAAGTGCTTGACGACGAGGTTGCGAGGCTGCGAGGATGCAAGGCTGCAACCTGTGAGGGTTTGCAAGGCTGCAAGAGAGAGTGGTGTGAATGATGATGACTAACTGAGAGTGAGGGAGAGGGAGGCACGAGGAGGAACATAGACAGAGGAGAAGAAGTGAAGAAACACCTAGGGTTATTAGCAGAAACCAAAAAACGGTGGAATTGGGCTCGGGTATGCACGGGTGGAGGCGCTTGGAAATTTCTGAAGAGGAAAGGCAGAGAAGCTGCTATAAAGAAATGAAGACGAGGAGATTTTGGGCGCCATGCCAAAATTTTGGCAGCCCTCCAAATTTTAATCTCTCGCCTCCTTCAAATGTTTTTAATTTTGTATGATTACTTTTTTTTATTTGTCACAATGTATGATTCTATTAAAATCTATCATTTTGATAGGATATACATTCTACGAAACTAATTTCAACGATCAAATCGTCAAATTTGTTTTGAGTACAAAATAAATTAATTAAAATCTATCATTTTGAGTACAAGATAAATTAATTAAAATCTACTTACTAATATATATACCATTGAACTTGATAGGAAACGCATTCTACGAAACTAGTTTCAAAGATCAAACCGTCAAACTTGTTTGTATATACTTCGAGATCACATACGCTAAAAATCGAAAAAAAAAAAAAAACATTCAGATATCAAACCTTTTCAACGGCTATAAAAGAAAAATCACGATTTAACGGTTATTTTAACTCCGATTTTGATAATTTTTTACAGCTACACTCCTTAACCCTATATGAATACAATGAACTAATTCAATCGTCCATTTAAAACATTTACATAAGTGGATACCACAAAATCTTACTTAATGGAAGTATAAATAAACTTCAAGTGTTAGTGAATCTATTGTTTTGATGGGATATGCATTGTACGAAACTAGTTTCAACGATCCAACCGTCAAATTTGTTTGTATATGCTTCAAGATCGCATACACCAAAAATCACAAAAAACAAACATTCAGAGATCAACTAACGTGACAAAACTTTTCGACGGGTATAAACGAAAAAGCACTATTTAACGGTAGTTTTAACTCCGATTTTGATAATTTTTTTACAGCTACACTCCTTAACCCTATATGAATACAATGAACTAATTCAATCGTCCATTTAAAATATTTACACTAATGGATACCACAAAATCTTATGTTATACTTGATGGAAGTATAAATAAACTCCAAGTGTTAGTGAATCTATTGTTTGTATATGCTTCGAGATCGCATACGCCAAAAATCTCAAAAAACAAACATTCAGAGATTAAGTAACGGGACAAAACTTTTCGACGGTTATAAACAAAAAAGCACGATTTAACGGTAGTTTTAACTCCGATTTTGATGATTTTTTAGAGCTAAAGTTGGGGAAAAAAAAAACCGGTAAAGCATTCTTGGCTTGGCGCTAAAATCTTGCGCAACGCAGCCAACGTCGCGCAGAGTAGTTTTGCGTGATGGGACTTTGCGCGACGAAGGAATGCGTCGCGCAAAGCTTTTTTGCGCGATTTATGTGCGCCTTTGTCGCGCAAACATACTTTGCGTGACGAAATTTGCTGCATCGCTCAAGTTTCCGTCGCGCAAACATATTTTTGTACTAGTGGGAATTCTATGTAATTCATATGTTTTCTTCTTAAACACATTTAGTTCTTAAAGCAACTTGTGAGTGTGAATTGTGTTTATACATTCGGGATTCATGTGGCTGTTAGTATATTGAAATATGTGCATCGGTATTTGTGGAGACAACCATTGGTAATTATAGTGTTATGCATTGATGGCATTGGCGGATTATCACTTCTGTGTGTTGTAATCTTGGTTAGGTTTAGAATCAAACCTAGTGGGATTATGTGCAATGCTTATGCATTGTAACTGCCAACTAGAAGAAACTGAAATGTTTTTTTTTCCTTCGTTTAGTAAGATCTGAATGTATGATTTAGCGTTTGAGTTGAATGTAGGGTATTTATACTTTCAACAAACACTTTGGGTTTAATTACAATATTTATTAAAAATTAAATAAAAAATATTTTTGCCACAATAAAAAAAATAAAAAATAAAAAATAAAAAGGTTTGTGCAACGAAGAAGTAACCTTCATCGTGCAAAACTCCTTTGCGCGACACAGGTTACTTCTTCGTCGCACAAACCTTTTTTTTTTTTTTGGCAAAAATATTTTTTATTTAATTTTTAATAAATATTGTAATTAAATTCTAAACAATAATTAATAAACCAAGAAAATTTATTTAATTATAAAATATACAAGAAAATGTATTTAATTATAAAATATATGAAAATGTACATACAAGATGTTCGAACAAAAAAGAAAATACTAAAACAAGTAGTCGTCTAGGTTTGATACAGCAGGCTACTGGTATCGAGTGGGCGAAGTTGCTAATGTAAATATTTTAAATTGATGATCAAATTAGTTCATTGTATTCATATCGGATACAGGAGTGTAGCTGTAAAAAAATCATTAAAATCGGAGTTAAAATTGTTGTAGGCATAATTTACTGAACAATTAAGGAGGCCAGAGAGAAAGAGGGGTGCGACATAGATAGAGAGAAAGTGAGAGATGTGTAATTGAGGTGTGTTCTATTCCACCCCATTGTGCCTTTATTTATAGTAGTTGGATGGGTAAAACCTTTCCCTTTAGGATTACAACATTTAATAGATAATCTACTCCTAATAGGAATATAAGAGATATTCCAAGATATACTACAATTTGCACAATCGCATTCCTAATCTAATAGGATTGCAACACTCCCCCTTGAGTGTGTAAATACTCAAGTAAATAGCGCATCAGGTCTTCAGTGATGAAGCAAGTGCATTTGATGAAGTCGTTGGCACAATGAGCTAATGCGAGTTTCAAATCAATGGAAGAATGCATAAAAGTAAAACTCACAAAACCTCGCTATGGTAAAATCCAAGGTGGGGAAAAACCCATAATCTAAGGGGAAAAGTGAGAAGTTGCATTAAGTCAAAACTATACATCTTTTGGACGTAAGTAGAATAGCTCTCAAGGGTATGATCAGCCCAAGATGGGTGCCTCGTTAAAACCTAGTTAGGTAGCAAAAACCCAGTGGGAAAAATGCTCCTAATCGTAGGGAAAAAGAGTACATTAAGATCAAGTGAGTATACTTTTGGATACTCCCCTTGAGTTTGACATTACTTCCAAATGAGAACTACAAGCCTTGCATATGAATAGTTAGGCATACCAATTCCTCGGACAAGCTTCTGGAAGGTTGACTTCGGCAGGGATGTCGTGTAGAGGTCGGTAAGGTTGTCTGGGATCAACTTGAATGACTTCAATCTCTTGATGATTTGCTGATGTAGATGTGGATGCAATATGTCTTGATGTTGACTTCGTTGATGTATCATAGGTTGGTAGGGTGGATACATGTGGCATAGTTTTCATGGATCATTGTCGGGACTCAACGATGGATGAAACACAGCAAGTACTTCGAATATGGTCAACAAGAACTCTTAATCATGTCTCACTTGTGACGTAGTGAAGTGAGGTGAGTCTTGGAACGATTCAAAGATTTCGCAACTAAGGTTATATTGTGGACCTCCAAGATATTGTGATATCCCTAACGGTAAAGACAAAACCATTTGGGGATTTTGCCTTTTGCGAGTTTGATAAGTAACCTGCTTCAGCATAACAACAAGGCAAGCATCATTTCGAGGATCAGGGGGTTGGATCCGCTCGAGATGTGTTGGGATTGCTTATGTAATACCTTCAGGGTACGTCTTTAATACCAATTCAGTGGTTACGTGTAGGCATGGTGTTGGATCTTTACCAAGATCAACAGCAAAAGAGATGTCTTAATCTAAATACAATGAGCTAAGTACAACGAAGTGTAAAGTTGAACTTAGATATGGAATTTCTGATTCCATAACCTCTTCAAGGGTCTCATTTGCATATAACGTATGGACGATCAAAGGTATACTCAAAAGTGACACATTCAGGGTGTAGTTCGACTAATAGACCAAAATACCGTCAGAACAATGCTTCAACTTCAGGTCAAGGCGTAAACGAGTTTTTCTAAGATCCTTCATCTCAAATTCCATCTTCAGGTGCAAGGCAGTTTTCTCAAGCTCTTTCAGAGTCTTAGTGAGATTCGTGTCAACGACATAAACTGTAACTCTAGCAATTTGGAATAAGACTTCATAGTTTAACATGCAAAGGTATAATTCATATCCCTGACTGATCAAATAATCACGTAGACGGGCATACCACATCCTTCGGATTGTATGTGAACGCCTCAAACAAGTTAAGAGGGTGTTCCATGGTTTTGGAACTATTTGAACTAGTCCATGTAATTCTTCGGGAAGTTACATGTAAATCTCTGTATCTATATCCCCATGAATAAAACACTAACCATATTTCATAATGCTGCTATGAATCACAGGACGTTTGAGAGAAACCTTGCGCCGTAAAACGTGCATCATATCACACTGTTTCATTCATCTCATAATGCTTCATTTCTCACTTGTAACATAATAGGGTTACCTTGGGCAATGTAAGAACAAAAAGTCCAATACACAATTTGGCAAGGAATTTGACTTGGATTGTAACTTTAGTTGTCCAATTAGTTCTACGTTGTCACTTAATCATTGGATCACGGTTCGATATCATCGTTGTTCATTTATGTCGGTAGCTACCATATAAGTGAAAACATCATCGATGATAATCTCATTTCAATTCCATTTAGCTCATCCAAACTAGTATACTGGACCAAGAACTTTTAAGTCTCGGGAGAAATCCGGATTAATCTCATGAGATGGAAATGATTTAAGACAGCGATCAAGTATAGATTCATTTTGTGTCGTGCCTTCCTCTTCTAGGGAAGTGAATCGTACAAACCGAGTGATCTGTCATGCTTCAGGTTAAGACAGATTGATTGGCTATCCGCTGGTGTACCGAACCATACAACAGGGGCGTCCAAACCGTCTAACAGGGGCGGCACACTCTCTAGGGATGTTGACTTGACGTTCGTTAAGTACGTCTATTCTTGCAAGCATGTTTGCAGTTGGTATATGATCTCGTCACTTTAGCTAAATCAGAAGAATACATCCGGGGTAACATTCTGAAAGCTAGAATTCATCATACTTGCTTATCATTCTTGTGCGGTGTAGGGATCGAGTTGAGACATAGTGGGCAACGTCCATGCAAATTCACGCCGTTCTACAGGAACGTTGACGTTCTTATCTCCCCATAACGGCGAGAAGATTGTCTCATTAAAGTGACAACCCGC